GGTGGTAGAAGGATTTTATTTTATGAATTAAATTTTATCCATATTAAATTGATGTGTGTTTTTCGTGCTTGCATTCAAATGTACTTATGAATGTATTATTTTTTTAATAGCATCACATTAAGCGAAGTCCGAAATAAACAAGTTAAGTCCGAAAAATAAAATTACTAATATTATATTTCAGGACCAAAGTAGCACTGTATTAAAAGGACCATGTTTGCTCCCGATTCAGTTACAATAGCGACGTGTCGCGATCGGTTTCAACCTGACAGTTGCACTCCGTCTGGGGATGACAGATTCATATTACGTCACAGTTTGTACTTTTAGGGTGAGAACATTCCTCAATATCTGGCCTATTATTTGAACTTAACTGAATCTGTTTTAGTCCTAAAAGAAAGTTAAATTTTAATTTACTCTTATGGGTTGTTATCGTTTGAATGTTGTTAGTTTTTTTTATCAAATTTCGTAAAAAGATGTGCTTTGAAGAGGTTTAACATTAAACATTTTTAACATTGAAGATACTTTAATATTTTGTCTTTTTTATGGTAGGCCTAAGATAATTAAAGTATAGTAGGCGTTCGTCGACATCTTTTTCGTAGGGTTATTAAAGTATTCCTTCTGATGCTATGTACATATTGAAATTGAGTAAAGTCACTGCCTAAGCCTATTTAGTTGTAGGCCTACAATTAGGCGAGGCCTATAATTACCATATAATACATGTATTATAAGAGTTTAGCAATAGTAGTCATTAGTCAACAATGAGTTTAAATTAATTCATTCAGTGTTCAAAGCTTTTCATCGTGTGTGCTGAAATAGGGGCGCTGATATCAACTCGTCATTGTAGCCTTGTAGGCTTCAGAGTTTAATGTCGACACCCAGTTCAATGTTGATCTTCACACGAAACCCCAAGAAGTCTGGAGATCTTCGGGAAAGTTCAATCAACCGTCTTAAAAACAGAATCAAGCTGGCTAACGGCGAAGACTTTTTACCGAACGCGATTCCTCCTGTTTTCACACTGGCGGACTCTCGCCTCGCCTGACACAGTGCAGAAATTAGTCCGATGTTTTCTGTCGAGCGGCAACATCAAAGAGGTTCCCACGGGGAAACTGTGCGAAACGAGGGAACAACGGACCAGGAAACAGCTGAACTAGGGAACAACTACGTGGGACATGTGGACATGGAAATATATACTCTACCTATGACAACTAAACAAGCTTTACATAGGTTAATTGAGTTGATCACAGAGCAATAAAAAAGGAATTTGCCGGTTGAACAGAAAGCATGTTGAAATGAGATATGAGAAAACACGTATGTTATTATTGTTGGCATACACCAACGTCATCGTACAGAGGAGGCTGTGTGTAAATCGTAATATATAAAAGAAAGTTGTGTTAATTACAGCGTTTATAACTAGAAAACTACTGAACCAATTGGCATGAAAATTTACAGGGATATTCCTTAGGTACTAGAATAACATAATAGCCTGTTTCCGTTTCAAAAACCCTAAAGGGAAGCGTCCTATGGCCCTTTGCAGTTTACATGTTAATCTTATGGAAGAATGTTTTATTTTGTTTACCATGCCATGTTTGTTATTTCTTGATTAAATTCAATTAAGGAAACAGCTGTTGTAATGATAATCTTATTTTTAAAAACAAATCTATGCCATATGCATAGCAAATGAGAGCTATCAAATAGGTTTCTATTCTATTTGTTTTTTACGAATATTTGTTGTCAAATGTAACTGAAGGCAAGTGAGTGCAGCGAACGAACTTCAACCAGGACGTGATTGAGCCATGCGAACGAGCTCATCTTGAAATGAACGAGCATTTGACATAAAACCACATTAGGACAGGACGACGTCTGTCGGGCCAGCTAGTACTTAATGTGATAAACATATATTAAAAAGTTAGTTTACCGGAGGAATAGAAAAAACAGCTGGACATATAAACATTTCAACAGACAAACAGCTTAATATGGGAAAAGCTGGACGAGAATAACACACTTTCATAAGTTAATAGTCGAACAGAGAAACAACTTAGCTATTTAACCGGCTGATCAGAACATCAGCTGAACCAATGAATAGAGAAACAGGGTAGCAGTTGAACAGAAAAACAATTATAATAAGAGAAACGGGTCAAGTGAGAAATAACAGAATAAAAAACACATAGTTGATTAGAGATGCCACGAAACGGCGATGCAGAGAAACTATCAGGATAACTACGGAATTGTATTCACTTTGCGCTGAACAGGTAACTTGTGTGTTACACTTATGTTGTTACAATTTGTGTTGAACTTCGCTAATAGTTCACATTACGGAGAGTGCTGGTCCCATTCTACGTTATTGAATCGTCTCTTAAAAATAAGCCTAAATAATGATTAGGCCTATTACTGTATATTATAAACTATTAAGTTAATTAGTGTCATAAATTTTCATCGTAAACCAATTCCTATTAACCGATTGTAATGCTATCCAAATAATCTATTCCTTTTCATCCTTGAAGTTACGCATCAAATACGTAAAATAAATAATAAATCACAAACCAGATAAATGTGTAGGCGACTTGACACAGCCATGTAGGAACTGGTTTGCTTATATTCAAATTTGAATATTCATACGTTTAAACGTATTTTTTAGATTCTTTTTTATCTATATCTGATGAATTATTTGCATGAAACCACAATGATGAACATTTTATTTACCGTCGCTTAAGAAGTACCGCTGAAGAAGATACCTCTATCTAATTTCGCTAATTTGTTGTAACCATATCATATTTTCATTTTATAGAAAGTAACACAGTTTATAACACGCATTACTTGAGATAAACATACACGATTGCATTGCACTAATGTGCGTCCAACTCAGATTATTTACTACCTCTTACTTTGGACCTCTTGATTGTCAACATTTATATTTTTAACATTTTCTTGCACGATCCTAATGTTCAGTAAAAGCTTTTCTAGGTACTGTAGTGTTTAGGAAAGGGACAGTCAACTTATTTTATGCCCTTATCGGAATTTAATCAGTTCGACGTTGCTTCAAATCCACATTCAGTCATCTCGGACGTCTTGATCGACGTGTATTTCCACTATAAATATTTTATGTACGACCTCGGCGGCAAATAATATTGCTATTCGATGAACTCGTGAGTTTTGATTACCTTGGATATTTGCTTCCTGTCTAGTTTCTTCAGATATGTGAATCTACTTGATCTTTGTGCATTTCCATCATCGTTACTTTACCACTACGATATCTGCGTTGAAGGAAGTATAACGGCGTTGACAGTCCAGGATCGCAGGTCGCAGGTATATTCTACTGGAAGGGCCGCAGTACAGCCAGCGCCAGGTGGGTCGGGCCTCACTGTATAATTATAAATATCACGCCGTCCTGCGCGCGTGGCCTTGAACCTGATTTGGTTGTTTTCAATCGCCGCGCCGCCCCGGCTACACCTGGTCACATGGATCGGGAGAACACTTTCTACATTGCGATCTTATTGGGTGTCTTCATTTGATCATATGAGATCGGAGATCACTTTCTATAGGACCATCATAAAGGGTGTCTACATTTTATCATATGAGATCGGGAGATCACTTTCTATAGGGCGATCATAAAGGGTGTCTACATTTTATAATATGAGATTGGGAGATCGCTTTCTACATTGCGATCTGAGTGTCTACATTTTGTCATATGAAGTGGGGTTACTTACAGCACAGCCAGTGTGATCTTATTGGGTGTCTACATTTTATCATGTGACATTGGGAGATCACTTTCTACAATGCGATCTTAATGGGTAGGTATATTTTATTAAGAGATTGGGAGTATTGTACAATATTTAGGGTGTCTACGTTTTTTCATATGAGATAGGGAGATCAATTTCTAAAGTGCGATCTCAATGGGTGTCTACAGTTTATCTTATGATTAGGGTTATATATTGTACAATCTTTAGGGTGTCTACATTTTAAAATATGACATCGGGGATCACTTTCTACAGTGTAATGTCATCTTTTTGGATGTCTGCATTTTAAAACCTTTTTAAAATAAAGCCCATTGCTGTAGTTAGCTGGTTTTGGATAGTTTTATAGTCAATAGCTTGAATGCTATGCAAAGTCTTCGTTCATATCCCGCCAATGGCTTTTATCCACATGAGTAATGAGTATGTCTTGGAGTAGGAGTCCACTTTCAAGTCTAGATCTGCCTGTGTAGGAAAAAGATAGGCCACTTAGGCAAGGAAAACGATCTCTGTTTTTGAGATTTCCCCCAACTAAAAGTTATTTTAGGCCTATTTGTAACTAAATAGTGAGAAAAATATCAGTATAGAATATGTTCATTAAAATGGACAATTCATTTTTAAGTCCATCAATCAACACATTTTATTTGTATTCTACTATTTTTGTAATAATGTCAAATTAATTTGTAAAATCTTTCAGTTTCATTCTATGGTGTCTAGGTCTAGAATAAGCTTCCTGAAATATTTATTTTTACAATTGCAGTTCTGACATATTTCTATCTTGAATAAGTAATACTTCTCTACAATTTACGGTGCATTGTATCATTGTACTAGATAAATTAAAATTATTGTATTTCAACTAAATTTTTTTTAATTCAGTAGGCATACAATATTTATAAAGCATTCTATGTGACAGATTCAATAGCAATTGCTCAGCAAAAATATTGATATGAGTAAAAGTTAAACAACCTAGAAAAACTCAGTGTTTAGGCTATCTTGAAATTATGATTCTGTTTTACTTTGACATTACTGGCTAGTGTTGATTTTATTTTCACCATATTTTACTCTATTTTAACTTTAATTCAGAAATTTATTGACAAGTAACCTAAACCACTACTGAATTTCACACAAATTATTTATTTTAGGCCAATCCTTGTTTTTAAAACCCTTGGAGATGTCTTATTGATTCATTACAGTGTAGATTTCCACTAACAATAAAACTGAGACATCTTTTTGAAAAATGTCTCAAGATGAAATTCTTCAAAGGCTCGGAGGGCAAGGGGTGGGGATCAAAAATTAATGTGACATTATGAGGGTGAAAACAATAAAAGCGTTGAGCCACTTGAGGAGAGCGGTGACTTCAAAGAGTGTTCGAGGCTTTGAAGCGTTTCCACTCAATTTGTAGCCTCTTGTCATCCTCGCGCCACCTTCGTATCTCGCCAGATTCTAAAGATAAGAGATAAACCAGCATCAGATTTTAGAATGAGTTAAACACCTTGTAAAAATATCAGGAGAGTCGCTAACGGTTTTTCCAATTCCGTAAAGAGGCTGTGTGTTTGAAATTAAAATTTTATTTGTAACTGTTTTGTAATTTACAAATCAATTTGTATTTTCTAGCTCTGCATTGGTTCTAATCAGATCTGTATTTTTTAACAATTTACTAAATTTGAATATTTTAAACCTTCAAACTAATAGCTATTTTATACAATTAGGTTACTTTTACAGCACTTCAGTAATAATACAACCCAGAGATATTTTACTACAATACACACACAATACATTTTAAGGATAGTTTAATGCGGTTATTTACCATTATTTGCTCAATTTAATTTTTTTAATTCTCCAGACTGGTTTTTAAACATGAAATCTCATCGAGTGTCTCAGACTTAAATGTGATAGGGATGGGTTTGAACCTGAGGACTGCTTTCCTGAAAAGTTTTTGAGTGTCTCACAACAAAATGCCTCACTTAAATTGCCAATGTTTACACACATAAAGTTTACAATCAATTACTAGTTCTAGAAGTTAGTGATTTATTTAACACATATGATATCTCAATTAAGGTGTAAATGTTGATGTTTCAGACTGTTAAATGTCACTGTGGCGGAGAGTTTGGCGAGGGTTGAGGTGACAGCAGCTTCACCAGAGACTTACCGATCTTCCGTCCGAGACTCCTTCCACTGGCGACACCGCTGTGAGTACATACAAGCCATTGAGAACAACAGAACTCGTGTTATTGACAGTTACAGTAGAAATCTAGTCTTTGACATCGAGTTTTTGACAGCAGTAAAATCGGGTCATTGAGATAGCTACATAATAATCTGATCATTGACTGTTGTATAAATTCCATTAACTGGGACCCAATCGTTCAGACTCAGTACTATTCAAGTGTGAAATTCACTACTAATTATCTATATAACATATTTTTAAATAAAATTATATTTTGCTTGCAGTATGGTTGACAAAAAATACATCAAACCAAAACAATAATTAGTTGTAAAACCTTTAATTTTATTTACCAATTGCATAAACCCTTTCTATAGTCTGTCTATAGTTCTATAGTTTGTCTATGATACCCAGCGGATTAGAAACCTTCTTAGAACTCAACACACCCGCTCGTCGAGCTTGCCACTTGGTATCATAGCCAACAAACGGACGGACTATAACATGTTTGTGTTTTATCCTTATCGATATAATTTGATATCCTTTAAAATTGAAATATTGAAAACACCAAATTTGTCATTGTCTTTGTCTAAGTCTTTCATTCCCACCACACTAGCTTTAAAAGTTATATTAAGCTTCCATGGGTTTCAATGGAATGGAGAAATTTCATTTATCTCCCCAATATATAGGCCCACAAGTTTACAATATGTTACCGCTGCGCATAAAAAATATTGATAGTAATACACAGTTCAGATCAACCCTGAAGACCTGGTTAATATAAAAACTTAAAATTTTTTCCCCATCGAATGTTGTTTAAATAGGGACGTTAAGTTAGATTAATTATTTAGTAAGACATATTTATAATTTCTTAGTTTTAGTTTTACCCCGTATATGATACTATGTCCTATCAAATGATGTAATGACATGTAATGAATAAATAAATAAATAAATAAATATAACCTTCCACTTTTTACATTTTGGAAATCACACGGAACGTCCTCTTGGACATCAGTCTACGGTTTGTTATGTAATTTAGATAATTTTTGTATTATTTTGTTGGTAATTTTATTGTAAGGCAACAAGAATCAATCTTTGAAAATATAATAATTTTAATCATTACAAAATAATCAGAGTTTAACATTTTTTTAAGTAAATTTATTTTCTAGTAGTCAAGGAAAAAATATTTTAGGTTGGAATGCAGAAAAAAAAACATTGAAAATCCGGTAAGCCATGTGCCTGCTGTCAGTTTTGATAGGCCATCAAATCTATAGGGCCTGTTCATACGGATGATCGAACATCCTTCCCCATTGTACCTGGGCAGAGGATCCTTTAGAACTAATAGGTCTGTCATATTTCTATAGGCAGGTAAACATATCTATTATTAACCATTATTAAATGTATTGAATTTCAGTGAACAGATGGCGCTCTTAGACCCGATTACTATACAAATTGAAGCATATTTTTTCCAACATCCATTGTCGACATTGATTTTCGTCTCTCAACTTTTGTTGTGATGATTCATCCCTCGCGTTTGCGCACTAGATGTAGGGGTGTTGCTCGTACCCCTTCTCTAGCGTCTGTTCTCAAAGTCAGTAGCGATCATAAAGCGTGCCGTGCCGATCCGCTAGCCAGTAGTTCCTGCGGTTCTTTGTTCCGAGGGTTAGCCTCACCTGGTGGTAAACTTCTCTTTTGTTGTAAATCTTGACACCGGCAATTATGTGGGTAGGTATCGTAGCTGTCATAACTGTTATAGCAATATGATTTTGATCGGAACAGACATCTGAATAGAGAGAGGACTCGTGTTAGCTACTTAATGGATGTTAGGGAACAATAGACTTAACAATTTTTTGCTAGAGTTCGCCAATTTAGTATTTTTTGTGCCTGATTTCCGTGCTTCCATATTCCGCGCAACATATAAGCAAGGAGGTATTAGCATTGTTTTTCAAGTTTTTTCCGATGATCTTTTGTTGCCCGGGCCGATTCTCCAGAGGGTTCGATTTGAGAAGTGGGGGTAGACCTCCCGTCAAAACCTCCTATCGATCGGTGAATGGTAGGTTGCAATCGGCAGAAATCAAACCCCCCTCTGCGTTATGATATGGTCTCCTTTTGTTGTTCGCTTTAGGCTATGAGTCATCTTGGATAGCGTCCCTTCTTTGTGGAATATCGTGGAAGTCACGTTCAACTATAGTTTGAATTTGGTTTTAAGAGAACATTTGCGTAAACATATTTTTTTAGTAAATGTTATCATTACCTAACTACCTCGGTTGTACCTAGGGTTTACAACTACCAACTTGTTTTTTATTTAATTAAGATTTAATGTTTGTGAAAAATATACCGGTTACAACGTCCAAAGATAATTAGTTTTTATAAAGTATGTTTATAAAGTAGTTCTACTAGTTATACTTATGGCATCGCAGAGAGGTACTGTGACGTACAAGATCTATCATGCCTATGCTTTTTGGATTCAGAGTTTCCTAAAGCACCACCTTTGGCCACAGTTCCTCATGCTAAATTCATAAGTTGATATCGTTCTATGCCAATTATGACCAATTCCTGTGTCTTTGGTATGGATAGCTATCAACCTTCTTATTGATTTTGGTGAATTCTACAAATTATGGCCTGCCCAATGCTAGCTTCACCCACCTTTCTTTCTCCTCTCTTTGTGTTTTAGCTGAGTAATCCTGCTGCATATTGCTTCTCATGAAAGTGTCGTAGGTTTAAGGTTCCTCCCGGAGCATTATTCCTCTCTTCTGTTCTCTTTCTGGCCGGTTTAAGTTCCACACCTTCTTCTGGAAATTGTGTTTACTAACCCATACTCTGCTCAAACTTATCTTACAAATAATGTCGCTCCCTCTTGATTTCCCTTAGTTAATGTATTGGGGCATAGTCTTGCTTGTAAAAGTGCTCACTTTTAGAGAGCGTCTGGTATCCATTAGGTAGGAAGGTCTGTCATCGTATAATAAAAAAAAAAAAACTGTTGAAGACACCAGATAGACAATGACACCTTTCACCTTTCAGTGGTGACTTAACACCTGGCATTGGCCTGAAAAATAAATCAGAAAGGGGTGGTTGGATAAAAAGATGACAAAAATCAAGGAGTAAACTGACAGAATTAGAAAGAGTGATTTGTTTATTAAGTGAATGGGTCCATGGGTCAGTTAAAGACCCTGGTTACGGCAAAGTTTATAAAGAGTGGTTGCTTGGTGGCAGTGGGTTAGCCATCTCTTGCTCTTTTATTGTCTCAGTACATACATTTACTGTTCATTTGTTTTACAATGTTGGTTGTTCAGTATGCTGCAATTTTTGTTTTGTTGGTAGTGCTGGCGTGATGGCTAGTGAGAGGGTCGCGCTGCGTCTGCAATGAGCGATCCTGTCACAGACTCTTCTACCATCACTTTCCACCAGAACTCGCCCAGACCCCCTGTTGTACCCGGTAAGCTTTGCAGAAACCTGGACAGTATAGATAGGTAGAACTTACTACACATCGTTAAAAATATGTATTTTAAGACTATAAAATTTGTTTGAAAGGTGAGCAAATCTTTTTACTAGAACAGTTGGAACATTCACTGTCTATATTAGTACTGATGTATAGTTTATGATACATTTCAAACTTAATAAACAGATTTTTTGTGAGGACAGCAGGCTTGAGGATACCCAAAACGTAACACTTTATACACAAAACATTACACCGTCATTGACACAATTTTCAACTAAGGAAGAGGTTTTTTTATTTTTTTATGTATAGGCTTAAAGTGTAGAGTTTTGTGTGTCCTGTAGCAGTTTGGATTCTTTCCCATTCAGGTAAGCCTGCTATCTTCACAAAGAATCGTAAAAACCTAGGCCCTCGTGCTCTATGTTACATCCTTGAAGAAATTTGTTGTTATCTTGTGCTCTTATTTTGTAGTCAGCCAACTTCTTACTGTAAGATTCTTACTGTAAGATTACAAGGTTTGGGGTGCTTCCATGAGTATCTGGAAGTCATTCTTGAATATGTTTGGTGATGGTCCCTGTTAATCACAGAAGTAGGCTGTAGAGTTTAACATGACCTTTAGATTTACAAAGCAACTATGTATCTGTGTGATGTAGGAGAGGAGACGTGTGGTGGTGTACAGTCGCCGGCCGCTGGATGGGGTGGCAGGTACGGTCACGGTGGCAGCCCTGTGCCCACCCCTCGGCGGAGCACGCTCACTCACCACGTCACATTGCCAGGTGAGAACATCACTTAACCTTGCTACCTGTAACAGATCCTCAGCTAATCATTGTTAGTAACAAAGCTGTTGTATCATTCGTTCAACACCATTCAGCCAAATTCACCTTCAAATTTGCACTCCTTAATGAAACCAAATGAAATGTTTATTTTTCGTATTAAGTTTCCTTTCTGTCATCATCCACATGGAAACATGTTACGTGTCATACAAATAAATCCTTGTGTTAAATTAATTTTGACAATCGGGTAGGGAGTAAGGACACAAGAGCATGAGGTAGTCTTTATGTTTTTTTAGTTAAAATATTTTCTTCAGTTTTAATTTGTTCTGGGAGGTTATTGTGAATTTGCCTACCTATGTGGCAACCCTTCTGTTATGTATGCTGAAATACTGTTCTTTAATTTAATTCAATCAGATGTTTTCATAAAAACAATGTTTGTTTACTTGTTACTTTTGTTATAAATGTTTGACAATAAAAGATTCTTCATTCATATATTTTATTCTATTTAAATGTAATAACGTTACATAATGGCGCTGCACGGACATGAGGAATATGACAATGACGACACATCATCTACATTAACAGTGGAACAACCTACTACACATAGTTTAACTCATTTCAAGTTCGAGAAGTTTGATGCTACCAAAGAAACATGGAAGTACTACTACCAAAGGTTTGAGTTGGAATTAATTGTTTGTGGGTTACAACACAATCAAGAAGCTAAGAGAATTTTACTTCTGAAATGGATTGGTGCTGAACATTATAGAATTGTGGTTGATAACTTTTATCCAACACCTATTTTAACAGTAGATTACGAGGAAATTGTTGAGTTTATTTCAAATTTCTATAAACCAAAAACATCCTATTTGTCCGAAAGACTCAAATTTGGAAAAATCTTGAAGAACAAAGATCAATCAATATGCATATTTGTAAACAATTTGAGAGCTGGTGCGACGGAATGTGAGTTTAAAGATACACTTGACGAAAGACTGCGAGACCAGTTCTTATTGGGTTTAAATGATCCTAAACTGCAAGAAGAGCTCATCAGAAAACATCCTGAGGAAAAAGCAAGACTTGTCGACATCGTTAAAGACGCCTACCTCATGGAAATGGCACATTCTCAACAACAACAAATAGAAACACTTGGGACATTTTCATGTGACGCACAGGTAAATAAGGTAGGGGCTACACGAACTACTAAACCTTTATACAAAAGGGACAGTACTAGAATCAGCTTGAATCCTGAGTCACAGTGTTTGAGGTGTGGTTTAGCAAAACATAAAACAGGTGAGCATTGCAAGGCAATGAATATTCAATGTAGAGCTTGTGGGAAAATGGGGCATTTTGAAAGAGTTTGTCTGAAATCCAATAATGTCGTCATTGAGAAAACTCTTTCAAGACGTTATGTCAAACAAATTGATAAGTTTGCTGGTATGAGTGATTATAGTTACAATGTAGACTTTTCCCGACATAATAATGACGGATGTCCTGACATATCTGATGAACTAGAAGCTGGTTCGGTAAAAAACATAAGTCAAATTAATAATGTTGAGAAATTTTGTTACGTTGTTAATTTAACAATAAATAGGGTTCCAATAACGATGGAATATGACACTGCTGCTGCAAGAACTATAATTAGTAAATCTACGTGGAAACAAATTGGTGAACCGGCACTGACTCCTACGGAGGAGCTGGGTGCTTATCCGTCATTTAGAATACCTATGCTCGGCGAGACTAAGGTCGCGGTTTCGTTAGGATCAACTACTTTGCAATTAAGTGTTGCTGTCACTGACAGTGTTTCAGGTACACCTTTGCTTGGTAAAGATTGGATTGCAGCATTTAATCTAGATCCTAACTGTGAACATGTATGTAAGCTAAATTCTTATAGCGTCAATCATATTAACACGGACATTATAGACAAAGAGGGGGAGAAACGTAAGATATATAGAGAGTTCAAAGACATAATTACCAATAACCTAGGAACAGTGAAAAACTTCAAAGCTAAGGTTAGAGTAGCTAATGATGTACAATTGCCAATACACAAACCGAGACCTGTTCCGTTCGCATTACACAGTGCAACTAGCAAGGAACTAGATCGTTTAGTGTCCTCAGGGGTCTTAGAACCTGTGGATCCAGCTACTACTCCGATCCTTTGTGCTTCTCCTTTAGTTGTTGTACCAAAGTCTAATGGTGAGGTACGATTATGTGCAGATTTCAAGGTATCAATCAACCCTCATTTAATCGATGACGAATACTGCATCCCTACGTTTGAAGAAACAGTACTTAAGTTGAATGGTTCAAAATTCTTTTCAGTTATTGATTTGAAGGATGCGTATCTACAGATTCCAGTGGACGAAGAATCAAAAAAATATCTAGTGGTAGCGACACATAAAGGATATTTTACCTTCAATAGATTACCTTTTGGTATTAAGACTGCACCTAAGATTTTTCAAAAGCTGATGGACCAATTATTAGTTGGTACCGATGATTGTGCGTGGTATTTTGACGACATATGTGTGGGCGGTAGAAGTGGACCAGAACACATTGATAGGCTCAAAACAGTTTTAAATATATTGAGAAGAGCAGGACTATGCACGCGTGAAGATAAACTACAGCTTTTCAAACAAAGTGTGACTTATCTTGGGCACAAAATTAGTGCTCTTGGTATTCAGCCTGTTGAAGATCGTGTAGAAGCTATCAAGAAACAACCCCCACCAAAGAACGTTTCTGAGCTTAGATCATTTCTTGGATCTGTGAATTACTATTCAAGATTTATTCCAAATTTGCAATCTCTTTGTTTTCCTTTACATAGACTTTTGCACAAGAACTCAACTTGGGCCTGGAATAGTGACTGTGAGGACGCATTCAACCATATTAAGAGCAACATCTCAAACAATATGGTACTTGTACATTATGATCCTAAACTTCCACTTATCCTTGCAACAGATGCTTGCAATATTGGATTAGGAGCAGTTCTCCTTCATCGTTGTTCTGATGGCAGTCAGAAACCAATTGCAGCCGCTTCAAGGACATTAAATTCAGCGGAACAGAACTATTCTTCTATAGATAAGGAGGCACTGGCCATTATCTTTGGTGTTAAGAAATTCTACAAATATCTCTATGGTAGGCATTTCACTCTTTTGTGTGATCATAAACCACTCGAACGAATCTTTGGGGCAAAGCAGCCTATACCTAAACATGCCGCTTCCAGACTTGCAAGATGGGCTATTATACTCAGTGGATACGACTACGATATAAACTACAGGGCTGGAAAAGATAATGTTCTGGCAGATTGTCTGAGTAGATTACCTTTAGAAGGAGGAACAAACATTGATACGTATCAGACGCTTGGTGAAGTAAACCAAGTTAGATCTATGAGAATTGAAGATTTGCCACTTACCAAACGAACGCTTCAAGATAACACTCACAGAGATGATGAACTGAAACACATTATATCCTATTGTGTCAGGGGATGGCCCGATCGAAGTTCAATTCCGGACAATTTGAAGATATTCTATGACAAGAGACTCGAACTATCTTATGAAGAGGGGATTTTATTGTGGCAAGAAAGAATAGTAATTCCTAAGTCACTTAGGGGAGACATTCTTAGTTACCTCCACGTTTCACACCCAGGAATAGTTGCCATGCGCTCTTTGGCGAAGTTGTATGTTTACTGGCCAAAAATAGACGATGACATTGAAAACTTAGTGAAAACTTGTACAAGATGCCAAACATTCAGGAAGAATGATGTCGAAACGCCACTCAATTCATGGAATATACCTGAAAATGCTTGGGAAAGATTACATATTGATTTCAAAGGACCTTTTGACGGATACATGTGGTTAGTGGTAATAGACGCATATTCTCGATGGTTGGAAATATTTCCAATGAAAAACGCTACAAGCAACACTGTGATAAGACGACTTCGTGAACTTTTCTGTAGATATGGACTTGTGAAACAAATTGTTACTGACAATGGAAATCAGTTTGTCTCAGAAGAATTTAGAGAGTTTTGCCGCAAGAATAACGTGATTCACATCAGAACCACTCCCTACCACAGTCGTTCCAATGGTTGTGTTGAACGAGTCATTCAGACATTTCAAAACAAGTATCTCATGACTGACATAAATGATCACGAACAAAGACTCCATACACTTTTATTCTCATACAGAACAACTCCACATTCATCGACTGGACGGACACCAGCTGAACTTTTCCTGAAAAGAAACCCAAGAACTTTGATTGACACCCTAAGACCGGACGTGAAGGAAAAGATGAAACAGTCGTCAGAACGCCAAAAGTTTTATCATGATATCCACTCTAAACGTAAAGACTTTAGTGCAGGTGATAAAGTGCAGGTGAAACGGAATCCAAATGAAAATTGGAGAGAAGGGGTAGTGCTAAGGAAAACAGCACCATTGTCATACAGAGTGAACATTGATGACAAAGAATACAGGCAGCATGCCGACCATTTAAGAACACGTCAACAAATACAGCCTGCACAACAATCTATTCAACAACAAACTTCACAAAAACTAACTTCACCTTCATCTGGTACTACAAACCAGAGAAAATCAAGTCGGAATATAAGAAGGCCAATGTATTACCATGATGAATATTAGTCCTCCAGGCATTTAAAGAAGGAAGGGGGAAATGTTATGTATGCTGAAATACTGTTCTTTAATTTAATTCAATCAGATGTTTTCATAAAAACAATGTTTGTTTACTTGTTACTTTTGTTATAAATGTTTGACAATAAAAGATTCTTCATTCATATATTTTATTCTATTTAAATGTAATAACGTTACACCTTCATAAACAGCTGTCCTAAGCACAGGATATTGTAGAAAATTCCCGTTTTGGGTGTTATATTTTATGACTGTAACTTTTTGACCCAAATTCCTCATAATTTCTTTCCTCCTGGTGTGCCATTAAAGTATAATCTACCACTAAAGAAAGTGGTATTAATCACAGCGACCATAAACTATTTTAACAATTTACTGAATAGTACCCTATTGTACTGACATACCCAACAATTACTTATGTACTGAACTAAACAAACCACCACTACTCTGAATGTTTCTATTAAAAAAAAACAGTTTTGACAACTTACCTTTATTAAACCCAAACTTAACCTAAAAACAAAGTGTTTACACAACAATAAAAACAAAAACAAAAACCACGCTCCAACCCAAACAAGTTACCCGAACCCAAAATAAACACTTAGATAGAAAAACTGCTTTATACACCCAGAAATACCAAAGTGTGATGTCTGACTGTAGCATCTCGTGCCACTTTTAAACTACCAAACCCTAAATTGTATGCTTTTTCTTACAGTGATATTTAAAACCCATACCAACATTGTAAAGCAAACTCTGCAGTACTAACACAAAGGAAGGTCTGTCATCGTTTTGTAATGATTTATCAACAAATTCGCCACTCTTATCAATGAGAAGCCTACAATAAATAAACAAAACATCTAAAAATAGGTACTACTTATATCTGAACAGCGTAGTGGTTATAATGCTCCCTTTAGTAACCAGAAGGGTGTTGGCTGAATTTTGAGAACCTGGACCCAGCTGTCCCTACATTGGGCTTTTATTTAGGTGGCACTGCACATGATTCCGGCCAAAGAAACAGTAGCTCTTAGTAAGCAATAAAGCTACACAATGAATTTTAACTACATTATATACTGATCTTTATTAATTTTGGCCTTAAAATACATTCCCTGGTGCGTCAGCACCAGTTTTATTCAAATCTAATATAAAACCCAATACAAGATTCCTTTTTGAAACCAAATACCAATTTTACATTTAAATCCCTTATCAATCTTGTCAAGCCATTCTGAAAATATGATAACATGGTAAGTTACACAAAAAGAACGTACTCACTTTCTACGTTTATTCTCAAGAAGTTAAGACAATAAAGAACAGATATCTTACAATACTGATCCGTTCTAAGTTTGTTCACAATTAGTATGATTTCTGCAGAAAAGTTATGTTACAAATACTATCCAAGCTGTTGTTGACACAGAAGGTGCTGCACCGCTGGGGTTCGAACCGGAGGGATGCAGTTCCCCGAGGGGCGGGACAGGAGGGGAGGATCGTTACTCTCCCCCCTCTTGTCTCCGCTGGGCTCAGAACCTTCCGTCGCTGTTAGAAGACCCGGACGGTGTAGAACTGTTCAGACGATACCTGGAGAGCGAGGGACGGAGCCACGCAGACACACTGCTGTTCTGGTTCGCATGCGAAGGGCTGCGGAAACAGTCGGACCCCGACAAGATCTCTCAACTTGTCAGAGTAATATACAGGTAAATGTTTGATTCAAATATATTTTTTAATAATATAGCATCAGTTGAGATTTATTTGACGTAAGAGATGCTTAGGTTCAATGATAGACAGTAAAACGTTTGTGGATAGTGTTGAGTTATTGTTTCTCGCACCAAGACAGGCTTTTTCCCATACAGGTAAACCTGCTAATGAAGCAAAATTCTAGATTTTGCTATGACTGATCCTGGGTCTTTAGCATCTCATTGAAGGGGATTTTCTCATAACTTACTAAAATTGTGATTGTACCAATAATCATATAAAGAAAGTATAAACAGTTATTTTTTTACTCTTTGAGGGTCTGTGAAACTATGAGATTTTATAATTTTGTCCTAGAATTTTTCATTTAAAAACTGGGTGGAACTCTGACACAGTAAACATATCTTTAAACAGATTTACAATTTTGTAGCCATGCCAGATAATGTGAAATATTATCGTGTAATGCAAACAAATAAAAAACAGAAAGATCAGTAGAAGCATCTATTATGTATCTATTTATTGATATTCCCGTTGTTTCAAGTGACAAGTCTGTAAGCGAACATTTAGTACTGTGTTCCAAAGCAACTTAGTTTATTAATTGAAACTAGTAAGACAAATAAATTAAAAAGAGTATAATTATATTGTCTCACTCAACAAATATTCATAATGGTTTTCCAAAATCAGTTAAACAAACTCGATTTTTACATGACATTTTTGATTTTTCAGTGTTCCTGTTATAATTCCACAGCTTTGTGAAACTAAATAATTTTACTTTCTGCAGGAAATACTTTCTCAAAACGCAGCTCGGTATACCAGAAGATCTGCGGTTGTCGGTAATGCGCAGGATCAAAGCTGGAACAGACTTGGACTGCGGAGTGTTCAACGAAAGTCAACGAGAAGTGGAGCGAATCATCACAGAGACCACTTACCCAAACTTCCTGCGGTCGGAAATCTACCTCAACCATGTGCAAGCGATGCAAAATGGCTCTAGGTTAGTTGTAGTGTAGTCAAATATTAAAATGTATTTGTGTTGAATTTTTTTCATCTATACTTATTTAATACGCAAGCAGGTTTTTTGTGACAATTACTCCTCCGAAACTACTGAACCGATTGACATGTTTTTGGTGTCATTTTGGACATGTGAATTTGGGTTTGCGTAAATATTACAATGGAAAAAAGCGAGAGAGCCTGGATAATTTTATGTACTAAAAAGAAAACTGAATTAACACTGTGCTGCATTTCTTAGTAATCATTGAAAGAGCCGATTTGTCATAGAACACCACCAAGGAAAGGAGAAGAAATAGAAATATTATATATATATTTATAATCGTTATCATGGACAGCCTAATGCGGCTATAAGTAAGGCTATTTGTAGAAAACACTAAAAACAAGATTAGCTTTTGAAAAATGATGATATTTACAAGAAATAAAAAATCCCGTCTCGTCTCAAATTAAAAATTCAATCTCATCCATCCCTACATTAAATATACGTCAGTTTTTATCAATGGAAACGCTGTATGAAATGTATGGCTGCAGCAGCAGGTTCACCTAGATGGTCAGACCAATAAGAGCCAATGAGCCTGTTTCTGAGCTTTACAGCGTACAATCCAATTGTAGTTATTACAGTGATAGATGTTTGATGTTAGGCCCTAGTATTTTAACATATTATAAATATCTTTCTTTGTCCCGTGTAACAGTTCCTGCAGTGGCAGTGGCAGTGGTAGCGGGTCTAGCAGTGGGGGTGTCACGGCCGCTCCCCCCACCATGTTGGCCACTGTACATGAAGACTCGGAACTAGTGGAGCCCCCTCTCCCCCTCCCCCTCACAAGAGACATGCTGCTGGCCACACAGAAGAGACGAGCCGTCGACTTGCGGCCCAAGCCCGAAGCTTACGCTGGGTGAGTGGTGTATATGTAAATTCCAACTGTTATTTTGGAATGTAAATGTGGTTTTGATAATTGTTTTGTTGTTTTTCAACAAGTTTTAAATGTTCCAATTTTTTGTTTTTACATTTTTTTATTTGTAATGTTATCAAAGATTTTTTTTTTTAGTTATAGATTAGAAGATATTACTTTTAGTCTTTTGTCGTTAACGAGTTAAACATTTGCCATTGTTGAAACAGAAACTACTAATAATGAAGGCCCAATGAAAATTAAAATAATGTAAATAGTGTGTGCCTTTTTAAATTTATTTACTATTAATATATAGATATGGTTTTAGAGCACTTAATTCTTTCTATATGCTAATCATATAACAATTAAAAATAACAACAGTGTTTTCCTTTATTTTTAAATATTGATATAAAAAGGAAGATGTATACTACAATTCAATAGTAGTTCATTTATATCATTGTTGTTGTTTTTTTGGTAGTATAGGTTGGTTTTTTATAATTTTGTGTGAATGTTTATGGGATCTTTTCCGTTAATCATTTTAGTCATTTTAAAGTAGATTTTCATAGATAAAATTAGTTGCAGTCAAACCAAAAATTTAAATAGATATAGGCTAGTTTTAGATATTTAACTTTTTATTTCTGCAATTTTCTCAAGGGCAGATTTGAGACACCACCTCCAGTAATTTGGTTCTGCCAAAGATCCAAACAATTCAGCAAACATCCACCCACGTAACAAACTAACGGAAAAGATCTCACGACTTGCCACTTATTTTGAACCCCGTTTTGTTGATTTTACTTAGTTCTGTTGTATGTGTGTAAGTAGTATGTGTTGTGTCAGTGTGTATTTGCCAAACCTCGGCAAGGCGAGGATGGCTTACTCGTCTTACAATCCAGTCTCCCGACAAGACTCGGAGCTGCAAAGTCTCAGCTCGGACGCACGGACGGAGTCTGACAACATGTCACTGACTGACAGTTCTGTGTAAGTAGTGTGGCCGTTGGTGGTGGAACTTATGCTAAAAGTGTTGATTATGGATAGTGCAAGTTTTTGATATCTCAGTATCACAACAACTGTGGAACAATGGATGTCAATAAACAAAGTATTCAATAGATGAATCTTTTATGAATTATATGAAAATATTTAGGTTGGATTCTTTTTTGCATTGAAATACCTAACATACATTGAGTTGTAAAATATGAAGAGAAGATATTGTAAAATATGAAGACACTGGGTAGAGCTATTATTTGAAATTGGATTACATACAAGACTTGCTAGTGCTTCTGCTTGATGTGTGATTGATGCAGAGTAATGCTTAGAATCTGTTGATATTGAGTAGAGTTTTCAATATTATAGGGTAAATTTTACAGTGTGAGCTTATTGTTTTGTTGTAATATCACAGAGCAATCAATATAGTACAATTTGATCTTTGTATCTAGTCTCATTATTGTAAAAGGGTTATTGTAAAACTTTATAAATATATACGTCATATTTTAGGTGTTGAAACTTCAAGCCTGTTGTACACACACACATCTTAGAAATCAATGGAAACTAAAACTTAAAGTGAATAAAATCCACTAATTAATTTGTCAAATTCTATTATTTTGTTTTTGACATTGCAAACTGGTGTTCATATGGATTTGATTATGTTTTTTATAGGAAGGACAGGCTTACCTGTAAAGTGGACAAGATTTTTCAATAGGAAACACATTAGACATTAAAATTGAAATATTTCATGGTCGCTGACTACTTTTTCAATTACACAGAAATTTTGTTTATATGATGTTCATATAGACTTTATTAGGTGTAAATTTCAATAACTATATGTTCCTACAGGGATGGAGTTTCCAGCAGCGGACATCACAGGTTCTCCCGTAAGCAATATCGTCAGCATTGTCGTCAGGTTAAAGAGTCAGCCACTCTCAACCGAGACATGCATGTACATCACACGTTCATCCCTCGTACACAGAGAATACAGAAGGAACAGGTATGATTTTGTCACTGTTGCAACTGTAACTTTTACTGTTTGGTAACTAGTTAAAGTAGCAGATATTTTGCTGTGTTTTTTGGAGTGTCATTGCATTTTTTACCTGTTTTGTAAGTATGTATCCGTACCATGGAACTTGTCAATCGATAACAGCGTTGGATATCATCATCAATGGACTATTTAAAATTGCATTTGGATTGAGTATTTATCCTGCTCACAACCAAATCTGCCATGCTTCGATTTTAAGGGAGTAGTATAACCACTTTTACCTTGATGATTACAGAAAATCTTTGTTACAGAAAGACTTTAAGAAGTAGATTTCTGTTATTAATTTTTCTGTACTTGATTGTTTTATATAAATTTATTTTTCTGAAAAGAGGAATGATGCATAAACTTTACCATGCAAAAAAGTGTGGAAACTAAAAAATTTTAATCTTCGGAGTTTGTACGACCAAAAGGATTAAATTGGCTCAGTAGCAATTAAACTGGCCCAAGCTTAAAAAATGTATAAGGACTAAATCAGTACCGGTAAAACCTTTCCTAGACAAACGTAGCCCAAATAGTTGATGGGATTAGAATAACATGTTGTTTTAGGAGGGTTAAAGTAGAAAAATTAATTGTTCAGTCTTCTTCTGTCTTATAAATGACAAAATTCACTGTCCTAATGTAAAATTTTCCATGAACTTCAATTAATGCTTACAGATGGATTATTGAGGTTAGAGAAATTCTTCTTACATTAAGCTCAATTTAATTTCTCCTTCCTTTGATATCTAATTGGAAAGTCAAAATTCATCTAATCCATACTTTTGAACTTGTAAACATTCCTACAAGATCCTTCCGTAGTGATGAACATGTGTACCTTTCATCAGTTAGCCTATCAATCTTGTTTTGATGTTTGCAAAGCTGTCATGTTTTTTATCAGCTTCTGTCAGTCAGTTCCCTTATCAGTGAGACCTGGAAGCCACTTCAGACTCCCTCAGTGTTCTGCAGCTCTTGTAACTTGTGGTTCAGCTTTGGGTGTTACTAAAATGTGTGTACTTTAAAACCTAGGCCTAGAAGGTTTGCAGTTTGTTCCTCTTGCAATTAGACACGGTATTAATTAGTGTTTAGGTAAAATATATTATTGATTGATAGTCCTTGTCTGATGGTTGTTAAAGAATTTTGGTTCAGTTTACTTTTTAAAAATTTACAATGTATTTTATTTTTATTTAGTAGACTCAACAAATTATTTGCTATAGGTTTTAAAAACTTGAGAGTTCTTGATCAGTAATTTGATGGGGGGGAAATATTATGCATTTAATACATTAAATATAAAATGTTGATTGAGAAACTGGTGATGGTAACCTAATAAGCTTATTCCTTAAACTAAACTAAGTATCATTTCAGGTACATCCTATGAAGCCAGACCAATTTGCTTCAATTTTAATTGAGAAGTTGGAAAACGTCAAGAGGAACCAAGAAGCACAAGAAATTTTAGACCGAAAGTTGTCAGAGGTAATAACAAATTTTTACAACAATCAATTATCAATTATCAATTATTTAAGATGGGGACGCCACTATGTGCGTATTTTAACCCAAATATGAGTGAAGGATGAGTGTAGGATGAGTGGCGTGATCTTGTAGTCTTGTTAGTGACTAAGGCTGACATGTTCCTTAGACACAGCTGTTAATTAATAGCCCATACAGCTAATAGCAACTAAGGGACCTACAGTTTATAGTGGAATCCGAACCACATTTTTTCCTTGTAATTTACGAATTGGTCTAATTATCAGGATAGTACTGCGGATAGTCGTAGTACTCACTAGTGCGGACGTTAATCCACACCAGGGAGCATCAACAAATTAGATAATTCAGCACATCTATGGGACACATTGTGCTTATTACCAATAAAATACCCCCGCCGCAGCAAACCTGCTGACTAAGCGAATATCCATTTGCCTGATTGGATTTACACTTAAATGTCTCCTTAAAAATATCACATTTATTCCCTTTTTAAATAGCATTAGTTTAACGAGTACTTAGGTTTGCTGCAACAGAGAGGGTAAAAAGGGATTTTTGTAAAATGTTAATAGTTTAGTATGAAATGAATGCATTTTCCAAATTTGATCAAAATATGTTTATAAACAAGCAAACTAACACAGTTTATTTATTCTCCCTGAGAATAACATGGGAATTTTAAATTTACAGTTTTTTGGAATTTTCTCCGTAACCATTAGGCGCATAATAACGCTTCAATATACTAAATTATTTGTTTTTTAAGCTCTACAAAATGGTTTGGAAAGAAATTGCTAAATTTTAATTTTTTAGTGTCAAAAATGGGAAAAACACATTTTTACCCCATAAATCCCCCCATAGACCTCTGTTCCCATAGTCCGATCATGCTGGTTCGCGAACTCGTTAGAATAAACGTAGGTTTACACGTTTGTACCAAATTTTATCAAAATCGGATGATTTTTGCTCGAGTTATTGCGCTAACGGACACATATATAAATATATATATATATATGAATTTGAACGGATGGTGTTTTTGGTCTCAAAACGAAAAAGTAAATCGGTCCCGGGTCCAGGTCTTACCATGAGTACTACGGTAATAGCTTATTCCCTATATGGGAGATTCGCTAATATAATAAAGGAGTGCGAGCGTTAAAAAATCGTGGCTCTTTGAACCATCCGAAGTTCAAACCTAACAGGTTCAATAAGCAAGTCTACTTTTAGTAAACATTTTTTAAATAGGTTGTTTATTATAGTATTGTTACTGGATTGACTGTGTGTATGATTTTCAAAATGATGCTCTTTTTGTTTAGTTTTGATAATTATTTTAACTAGTTTTCAACTGCTAACATGTTTTCGGTTATTTTTGGTATTTTGGTTTGTTTCATTAATCATGACAGGATTAATAAACATTGTGATTGTAATTTCTTCCATTTGTTTTGATTTTCGGTTTATATCAAATCAAATCAAATTAAAATATCATTTATTTCGCAAAAAACAGACATAACATAATATTATGATCCCTGTACAAAAATATTTACAATATTATTTATTTTTCTAGGTTATATTTAATTTTCTATAAAAGCTTTTTAAAATCAAGCGAAATTGTCCCCCACAAAGGATAATTTAATCCTGTGAGTGGGAGAGAGTCGTTATATTATTAGAGATTTTTTTTTAATTATGAAAAAAAGGAAATTTGAACAATTTAAAAGTTGAAAGTTGAAAGTTGCGCTGGAGGACTGAGCGAATGGTGCCCCCCACCTCCCCCCTACCCTACCCCCAAAAGATAACACACACACACACACACGCGCGCGCGCGCACACGCACACTCACACTGCTGCACTCACTCCGACACCAACAGGCGGCTGGTAGCCCTAGGGCCGTCAATGCTCTGTCCCTGTGGCGCAGAATCGGGAACCGCTTACATACGTGCTTGCATACAATCGTTCTTTCACTCTATCAGCTGATGTGAGTGTAAATTTGTTGCCTGTAGGTTGTTCATTGTCTGTAGGTTGAGATCAGTAAATTTTGAGCAGTTGATCTCCCAATGCTTTGTAGCCATAGGGTAATTTGTTTTTTGTATTTGACCAGTGGTCCAAAATAGTTTTCGCGTAAGTTGTAGGGCAGATTGTTGTAGATAGTGTGAGCAACATAGTAGCAATTTGTTGTAGAGTAGGTTCTATTTAGTCTCGGTAAATAAATTCCTCCACCTAGTGCATGTCTGGTTCTGTATTCGTGTGTTACTCTTTCAAAAATGTCATTCGAGTGTTTGAATATGTAAATAGTCATGGTTCGAATAAATAATTGTCTGATGTCAAGAACGTTCATTTCATTGAAGAGAGCATCCGAAGGGTAGCGCCGGCTCCTGCCTAAGGCTGCTTTTATTATCGCTTTTTGGGTGATAATTAATGGCTTTAAAATATAACCATATGCACAGCCCCAGGCTATTATTCCTCCGTCAAGTAGGGACTGCACGTAAGCAAAATATGCAATTCTGATTTCTTCAAACTCCAAAATCTGATGTAACTGGTTAAAAGCATAGATATATTTTCTTAGTTTATTATTTAGATATGATACGTGGTCTGCCCATGAAAGTTTAGAATCAATCATTATGCCAAGGTATTTATATTTTTTCACTCTATCTATCACTGGACAGTCACAATCCGAATCAAAATTAGCACAAGAATGAATTTTCAACTCATTGATGAGTGTATCACCACGATGACTAAAAGCGATTGGCATGAATTTAGTTTTATCTACATTGAGTGTCAAAACATTTTGATCAAACCATTTTTTAATTTTTGAAATACCTCTTTCTGCGAGGTTGAAAACTGTTTCCCAGTCTTTACCTTCAAATAATACTAGAGTGTCATCTGCGAAGAGATAAAACTTCCCTTCAATGTCGATTTTAACTAGATTATTTATATATATTAGAAATAATAAAGGACCAAGGTTACTTCCTTGAACTACTCCATAGTCTACTTCAGCTAAATTGCCCTGAACTCCATTTATGACTACAAATTGTTTTCTATCTAAAAAATATGATTTAAACCATGCTAATGAAATGTTTTTTATTCCAATTAACTCCATTTTCTTTAATAGTATTGATCTGTCGACAGAGTCGAAGGCTTTAGCTAAATCAAAAAATACCAGCACGACCTTGTTTCCTTTATTGACAGCTAAATTAATATCTTTGTTAACTTCAAACAAGGCGTCAGAGATATTCTTCGATTTCCTAAATCCAAATTGACGTGATGTTAAAATGTTATAATGATTAAGGTAATTAGTTAACTGGTCTTTAACTATTTTTTCCAAAACCTTGGTAAATACACTCAGCAATGAGATCGGCCTAAAGTTCGAAGTCTTAGAGCAGTCTCCTGACTTGAATAGAGGAACAACCTTAGCGATTTTGTAGGCGTCGGGGTAAACTCCCCTCCGGTAACCCCTCATATTGTGTTGTTATTTCGTCACCAGCATGGCAACCCATAAGACCCATGTAATTTTGTTTTAATTTAAAATACATTTTTTGCACTTATTTTTTAGCATATTTTAATTTATAAAGGGATTCTACACATCTACAGGAAAATATCATTCTAACAGTATGCGTAGATTTTCCCTGTGATGCAACCAAGCTGAGAAAAAAATGTTTTCCTATTTTGCATTATATAAAACTAGCTGTTGTACCCGTGCTTTGCAACGGGAAGAGGTCACGAAATGCAAAAAAAAAACTAATAGTACTGCACCCTGTTGGTAAACCTTATAACTTTTTAATGCTATTTAATATCATAGAACCAACTTGTGTAGTTGAAACAGCTGACAAAATTATTTTATTCCTTTTAAATATGATTACTCATAAGGTTAACATGGGAAACTCCAGAGCCACTGGGGCGGAGCCCGAAAGGTGAGATAAGAATGCATCTATATGTTAATCGGGAATGTGAGCTATAATCACACCAAATTTCAGACCGATCCGACCAGTATTTTTCGCGTTTACTTGTCACAAACATACATCCAAACTTTCTCATTTATAATATTATAGTAGGAAGTAGGATTAATTATACCAAACTAAAGATTGTTCTCACAATTAAATTAATATTAATATTTTTATTAGTCAAAAATGTTTGAATCAATTTTATTATAATGAACTGTTCTCAGGCTGAAACATGTTCACCAGCTGATTTCTCAGCAGCAATACAGCGAAGTTTGTCTGAGACGATTAGAGAAAAACTGCAACTTGAAGACGACAATGTACAAGACATCCTAGGTAATTCAACCTTCATAGCATTCCCATCCTCATCAATTAACTAATACAATACTTCATAACTAATTGTGTTCTTAACTAACTTACTTCATAAATAAGGAAATTTACAGGAAAGCAGGCTTACCTTTAAATAAGTACATAGAGACACATAAAATACAACACAAAAGTAGAAATTTTTGTGGTCACTAACCACTTTTCGAATTTGGTAATTTGAAAATCTCCAACGCATTCGTTGAAAGAGGCTATCCCAAAAACCTTGTAGAAAACCAAATCCGATTAGCCCAATCAAACAACCCTCCAACAAAGAAACTGAAACCACCGCCAAAACCTTAACCTAATAACTGAATACCACCATGGCCTACAATCCCTCAACTCCATTCTAAAAGATGAATTCAAAATTCTCCAAGCTTTCCCACCCACAAAGGTTTTCCTGAAAACACCCCAACCACCACATTTCGCCAACCACCCAACATCAACAAGATTCTTGTTCACCCTAAAATACCAGATCCAATGACAGCAACCAGAAATAAACCCCCAAACGGCTCTTTCCCATGTAATACTTTCAGATGTAAAACGTGTCCCACCAACCCAAGTTTTTCCAGCAACGCCACAAATGAAGTTTTCAAGATTCAAAGACACAACACCTGCAGCACCAGCAATGTAATTTATCAGCTTCAATGTAAAAACTGCCCAGCTCAGTATATAGGCCTAACAAAAAACCAGTTCTGTACCAGAATGAACGGTCATTGTCAAGATGTAAAAAATAATTAATTATAAAGCCTCATCTTTCATAGCAGGCTAGTGTATATAGATTTTTTATATATGTGTGTACTTGTGTAAACATAGAACAGTGTAAATATAGTGGATTATTCATAAATAATGAGTGAACATACTCATACATATGCAACAGTAAAAACAATTTTTAGTCTCTTCAGCTGTGTTGGCAACCCTGACAAGGTGGAATAGATTCGAATTGCAACTGCCATTGCCATTTCTCCAGTGGAAAATTTCTACTTTTGTGTTGTACTTTATGTGTCATGGACTTATTTTAGGTTTTGCCTGCTTTCCTGTAAATTTCCTTTAAATTCCTGGCAAATGCCCTATCTTTTTATCAGATTACTTCATAAATAACTTAAGATTAACTACTTAATGCTTTAATATTTCTTGTTCATAACACATTCACTATTAGGTGACACAAGACTCCTCATACAGATGAGTGTGACAGCTGATAGCAGGGTGTCTACCAACCGGGAAAACCGGGAATTGTACTTAATTTTTTACTGGCCATGAAATGTACGGGAATTGTCCTTAAATTTTTAATGGGCCATAATTTTATTGATCACTGGTTGGTTAGGAGCACATAAAAGGTTTATCAGATGTTTGTTTACATTTTCATAATTTATTACTAGAGTAATTATGCAATAAAAATCCCATTAGCAATCTCAAACCCATTAATATTTTACCAGGACAATCAAGTGTCAAGTCAAGTACTTTCAAGAACTGTTGACTCGGTAGCTAGCTCATAAAAGTTGTATCACTTTTATTCCTTTACAACTTCTTTATTTATTACTAGGGTAGGCCTAATTATTATTAGATCCCAAACCTATTTTATGATGAAAATAATTGTTTTATGATGGCTGTTAAATTTCACTTCTTACTTGTACTTTCTTGAAGATTCAACTTGCCGGGGCCATAAAACTGTTTATGGTTTCATATTGAAAATGCAAATAATCTACAGTCTCTATTTTGTAAACTAAACCCTTTTTTTGGATATTTTATCTTTCAATTGACAAAACCACAAGCATTGTTGTTTGCATTAATGTTTTATCACTATGTAGGCCTGCTTGGTTTCAAATTATGTCATTGCATTTTCTGTATCTTTGTCTTATATTGTTGGCTATTCAGGTTTAAATGTTTTTTGTTTCCCATATTTATTTATTGAGTTGTATGCTTTAAGCAATCTAAATCTTATGAACTAGAATGATGATAGTGACTTTGCTGCTATTATAACCTCATTGTTTGTTACTCAGTTTATATAGGCCCTCCTAAATAATTAGGTCTAGGCCTGGGTATTTTGATTCTTGAAAGAGCTGTAAAATATATTAAGAAAATGTAATTGAGCCTAAGATAAACAACTAATGATTGCTATGTGTCGATATTAACTTTGCAAATGAAAATTCAATAATCTTACTCTGTGCTTATTGGTAGCCGCTTACCATACCTTGATTTTGTACTAAGAACTGAGTAACAATATGCATTAAAGATTTTTTTTTTTTTTTTTTCAAAAGTAGTCGAGACCCTAACGTTGTGCCAGGGCAAATCATGCCAAATTAATCCGCCTGGATCGGATAAGCTATGTTATGATGTTTGCGTGACTGATGGAGATATTTGTCGCTATCGCAGGAGACAATGATTGCGTTTCTCTGTTGCACTATAAAACCTTTACCGTATAGGTAGGCCTATGTTTGTTTACTTTCAATGAATTTCTATTTTGAAATTTAACTCTTATCTATTATTATTTACTTTTCTCTCTGGTACAACTACAGTGAATAACAAGATTAATAAAGTTTGAAAAATCAGGAAAATTATTTGGTAATGAATTGTCCATGAATTTTTTATCCAGAATGTAGTAGACACCCTGTGATAGGCAACTTGTTTAAATGCGTTTTCAGTATTTATAATATCAACTTATTCTGGAATTTGGCTACTAAGCTTGATTATTTATTGTTTTGCATCCATGGCTATAATATTTTAACAATACAAAGAACATTGAAGGAAAGACATTTTTGTGAAAGGCCTATTCTTCAAACACTCAAGTCAAAAACCTATTGTGTAACCTGGTTCGAAAGTTATTAACCTTTTGAATCCGAACATAAATAATAAGACTTAGAATGAATAAGACTAAGACTATTTGAAATGATATCATTTTTCATTGATTTTCTGGCAACCAAACAGTGAAACATTTAGACTCGGGTTAGTTTATTTGTCCCACCTTTGTATCCTAAGACGCTAGGCTCGGTACCATTTTACACACATTACTTTAGGCTATGCCTAGAGGGTAGCAGCATTATCATTTTGTTCAAAGACATTGGTAGTAAATAAGTGGCGAGATTCGTACAAAGTACCAAAGTTCAACCACTTGACCCAGTCTAGACTAACTTAGACATGAGGTAGTAATGTTTACTGATATCTAAGAGTTTGTCAAATACTTGTTTTGTTACAGACCAGCATGTGTCCAGAGTGTGGTCAGATTTGACCCCGTCAAGGTCACCAGGTGTGTCGTCTCCAAGACCCAAGAGTCCTCCTCACCGCAGGTCTGCCCAGCCACTCAACAAGGTATGTCAGGTCTACTGTCTAGTCAATTGAAAAAAAGACACATCTGCATTAGAAGAGGGGATAGGGATCTATCAGTAATTTTAGTCACTACTGTTAGTAGTACAGAATATGGGACAATTTACTGTCCCAAAAGACACCAGCAAAACTTTTGTTCAAAAAGTATTGAAGTTTTAATAACTCGAGAATGTATCTTGGTTAGGATAACTTTTGTTCTATTTTTTTATTTGCTAGAAGTTGAGCTGCAGCACTCACCATGAAAGACTCATCCATTCATGTTATGTTATAATCTAATCAAAAACCGGTTTCAGTTGGTCCTTATGTTTTGGAAGTATAGTTCAGTATTTTCATATACCTGCAATTTGTTACAACCATTGTTTGTGTCACAGGCCGGCTGCGGTTCCAGTCTTCCGTCCCATGTCAACGTCGCTCCCAACCCGTACCAGTCTCGGCCATACTCACGGTACCCCCGGAAAGACAAGGTACGCTATCACTTATCATCTTCTGGACTAAGTGTGATGTGTGTACAGCTTTTTCCTCTGTAATCCTCACTTTCTTTGTTGTAAGTTGATTTTTGGTGATGAAAAATTACCACTATTTGAACAAATCAGAACCGACATTTTCATTCACAATTAGTAACAAGTTTTTACTACAGCATTTTGGGATCTGGAATCTGATCCGGGCCTCAGGTGAGAAAGTACCTAAGATATAACAAGATTAGTTAGCTTTCTTCTACATTAGTACACAAATCCAACAGAAGCTGCAAATCACAAAAGAAAAACCATAGGACCAGACAATAATTGTGTATTAGTCAAACAAAAACCTAAAAAAAAAAACTATTATAGTAGTGCAAAATATTGGCACACAGTGAACACGTCCTAAAATGGAGGCTTAAATGACACCTCTTAGCAACCTTCATGACTTTCTCTTCTGATAGGATCCAAATAAGTCATAGTTCAAACATAGATTATGACTGGGAGAACGAGTATTGCTTTATTATTTTATGTTACAAAAGTGGTGTTTTAGATTTGTTGGGGTTTTTTACATGTGATGATGGTCCCAAAAAGAAAACGTGATTTATATGAGAAATGAAAGAGGATTGAATATGTTTTACAATGGAGATACAGCTTTAACACGACTTAACTCATGACAGAAAAAGTGCAAAACCTTTCCTGAAATTTTTTTAAGAAATATTGATCTTTACTGTAATGACTTTTAATATATTAATTGATTTTTTTTATTTTCCCTGTTTTACCCTTTTTGTTGGTCGGTAAAGGTCACAATATAGTCATATAGGCATATAGTCATATAGTCATGACCCATATAGAAGTATTTTTCTTTTAGGTGTTACTGCTATGTGTCATATTGTGCCGTCAATATTCTAACAGCTGTTTGTGTTATAGGACGTGTTCTCTACGTTCTCGTCAGACTCAGGTAACGTCCACGACTTCACAGAAGGTTCTGAACATAGGATGCACATGCCCAAAAGCAAGTCCATGCCTGACTACAACGACGCTTACTCCCAGGTCCCTGGTGAGTCAACAAATCTGTTTAGTGTACACAGCAGTTGATTTGTTCAATTCTCATCAAAATCATGTGAAAGGAATTGATAATATGGAGGTTGAGAGTGGATGTCTACTTGCTTTTTGCTAAATTTAGTAGGTACACTTGCAACACTAGAAATTGACTGATGAGACATGTGGATGGTGTCCCTAGAAATATCAGCTGAATTATGAAGTTTTTTACTCATCCTGATGCATGCTTTAGAACCTATAGACTTAAAGTTCATCATAAACCATAGCAACCTATCCTTGCTCTGCCTAAGTTACAGATGATTGCAATCTCCTCAGACTGTGAGACAAATTATTTAGTATGCTTTCTGTTAATCCACTGCCACTATATAATTTGTGTGTCACAACTAACAATACACGATTTAGAATGAAGTGTCTTGGTTCTTACCTAACAAATGTTTAAAAGTAATTATTTCATTTATTCTAAATTTTAAATTTTTTTAATTTTTTTCCTGTGGCTGTGAATTAACAGAATTCCTTCATTTTACATTCATAATTTAATCAATTTTTTACTGTGACATTTATTTTTCCTTTGACTCAAGTTGTCTTTTGTAAAGCAGTGGAACTCAATAACTTATTTTGCTACACAGGTCATGACAATAGGCTCCGCCAGAGCCGAAAGTGGAGCAGCAAGAAGACGGAGTTGACGGACAGTGGAGTCAGCGTGGTTAGTGATACTCCCCCAGTCAGTGTGGTCTCACAGTTCAAGGACAGGTATGTCTACTCAAGCCTTTGCCGTAGTTTCACACACATTCATTGTCAATAGTAGACTCTCTCTGATTTGACTCATGTATTTACAAAGCACTTCTATGTCTTGTTAACAAGCTAGTCACAACCTGTTTAGCAATGAAAACCAATTGCTTTTTACTTCATGGAGTTTACTAGCACTCTCTGTCGGTGGCTCAAAACAACAATGTTTATTTTTGTACAGAAGCGTTAAATCGATGTTTACACAATTGTCGCTGGAATACCAAAAAACGCATTTGTGATTAGATTTTATTTTTATTCTATAACTTTAACATTTTGAATTGAATGTCTACTTTTCAATAGTCAAAGGTTTTATAACTGTGTTTGCAGCCGTGTGCTGTCCTGGCTGATGGAGAGTGGCCCAGTGACAGAAGGTCGGTCATCACAGGACAGCAGTGTTGCATCACTACACCGTCGCCGCAGCGCCTCGCCGCCCGCACCTGCTCAGCCATTTGTAGCCGATCCTTCCATGCCGCCGCTGCCTTCACCACACACAGCCACACAGCTGGAGGAGGCTCGGCGGAGACTCATGGAAGACGAGAGTCGGAAAGCGAGAGTCAGGTAAACAACCTAACTTCAACAACAACTCGCATACCATACTTTTGCCAATGCTTTTTTGGAATTGCGGATGGGATAAAATAGTGTTGGGAATGTTGACACTGTTCACAAAAAATAATTTTTATATAAAGAAACAATTGTTGGTTGCTAGTTTTATCTTAATTGAGATTTGCTTTTTTTTTATTGCTAACTCCCCATTCTTAAAACTGAATTCCACTTTTTTTTTTACGGATGGATAATGGACTCTTACTTATGGTGTCTTCTAAAAGATAAACTTCTTTCTAATGCAAATGTTTTTGTCTTAGCCTATGTTAAAACATAACTTGTATGAAATGAATTGAAATGCCATTCTCTAAACTTTACTTGGTAACAGTTCAATAAAATCAAAATCTTCACAATGATCTTCATGCAGATTCAAGAATTATTTTTGTTAATGGTCATGTTTAAAACAAACAGAATCACTAAACATTTACACCAGAGTCTTGGTAATCCAAACCAACTGTTGGGGAAAAATTATCTGTTATCATTTAAAATCATAGCCACATGTTCTAAGATACTAACCAAGGGGTGCAGCCAACCGGAAAATTCCTTTAACCAAGAATTAATTCTTGGCTACATGAATTTTGACGACCTGGAACAATTTAATGAACATAGGTTCATTAAATCTAGGAAACCATATCTTCATTAAAACCAGGAATCTGAATATTGGGAGCAATTGGCAATAGCCAATAGCCGAGTTATTAATGATTTTCGTTATTGATGTTCTGTTAGCTCTCTTTTAAGATTGTCACATAAAAAGTTTGATTTCCGGTGTTATTTTTTTAAATTGAATTGAATATCTTAATTGCAGCAGGCTGGGTGTGTGTGGGTCTCAGTCCGGCGGGTCTACGTTGCGTCGGGCGAGCGCTGGTGGCCGCAACGTCCCCCCTCCTCCCACCACTGGCACAGCTACTTACACCACTGTTGTGTTTTCCTTCTGTGACGAGCAAGTGCCTTACCGCACCAAGATACCGGCTCGTCAGGTCACACTGCGTCAGTTCAAGGAGTATCTGCCTAAGAAAGGATCCTACAGGTTGGTTAAAGGATTGCTAATTTGTTACGCTAAGCTAATTTACTAGGTGCCAATGTTCAAGCTAGTTTGCTATGAGACATGTTTGTTTGCCGAAAGTCCAAGGAACTCTTGGGAATCTGGCACTACTTAAGTTAATTAGCTTCTCAATGTGCCAAAACATATTTCAACTTCATAAAAGAATAAATAAACTACTTCACTAGTTAGGAAACTAGTGAAAAGGCTTACTAACGGAAACATATGTTTTGACGTGGCTAATTTTTAGCACTTAATGTCAAAGCTAGTAGAAGTTATGTGATCTGTTAACACGATTGTTCTTTTTGTCTTCAAAATTGCCCAAGGCTCCATTAGACTAATTTAGTGAACTGTGCTAAAAGTTTTAATTTCATTGCAAGTACCAAAAGTGGCATTTTCTGGTGTGCGCTCAAGTTTTATGTGAGAAGTCAAAGCCGAACACTGGAACATCAAATTTCACGTGCGGGGTGAAATAATTGGAGAAAGTGATGTGATATCACTTTTGATACAATTTATTAATGATACTTTACATCATGACGCAATTATGCCTATTCTCTGTTCGCAGTTCTAGATTGTTTAGCAATAAAATTCCTGATTTATTTTATAAAAGTAAAAGATAAGGAAACGCTAAGTGTAGTGGGCTAGATTGAGAATAAGGGAAAGTAAATTTGGATCAAGAGAAACCTATTGCTTCTTCCTTAATGTATTCCTAAGCTATGTGGCCATGTGTCACGTTCCCATCAGTCAAAAGTTCAGTTTGTGTACTTAACAATCTCATTATTTCTTCAGGTATTTCTTCAAGACGGAGTGTGAAGACCTTGACATGAAGGTTATTCAAGAGGAAGTGACAGACGACAACGACGTTTTGCCGCTGTGGGAAGGGAAGATCATGGCACAAGTGAAGGCTGCAGACTGAGGGAGAAGAAACTACAGAAATTCAAGACAGACTGTTAAACCCCAGAAACTTAAATTAATACAGACTCATCAAAAGCTACGGAAGTCTAATCCACAGGGTGTCTCGCCTTATTTTTAGTGAAGTTTTGGTTTTAATTTTTTTTACACAGTTCAGCAGGAAAGACTAGGTGTAAACGCTCACATTGTTTCAGGTACCGATGAAAAGAGACATTACGAACACTCGTCGGTTTCCTGAATCGAATTGATCGCTTCGATCGCTCGACCTCTTGTACAGTGTACGACGTGTATTTATTTTATTTGCCGACCTTGTTTTAAAATCGTGCCTTAGTCGTAAAGCGAATTTGCACAACTGTTCATATCGGTTTAAGTTTTCATATTTTTGTATTGAATACTTTCTTCTTTCAGTTCCTTGTCATCTACAAAGTGTTCAATAGACAATTGGAAATATTGTATTTAATTTAAGTTGACAAAGAGTTGGATAATGGATGATGGGGAATGAGGTGCAATAATACTTGTGTATGTTTGGAAATTGGAATCACCTGAAATATTTACTGAATTGTATTTTAAAAAGGGTGTGCAATTATTTAAAAATATATAAGGACTTATTTTGGAAAGAATAGAGTTCAGTTAGCTTATCTGGGAAAATTTAAGCTGGAAAAACAATTGAAGGATTCTCTTCAATCTACTCCCTTAAGAAGTTCTACAGTAACGAAATGTCAATATTCTTTTGTATGACCTTTTATTGTATATCTGTAAGTCCCTGAACTTAATTTTCCCATTTAAACATCTGAACTCGTACCCTTCATAAAAAACTCTTTGATCAGGACAAAAACTGCCTGTTAATGACATGTCAGTTCATGTTCTTTTACACATTGTAGGTGGTTGAATGTTTGCTCGGTGTGTTCCCTTGAAATAAACATTTTTTAAAGGATTACCACTAAATATATTTCAAAATTTCTCCATCATCCAATTTTTATCACATATTTTGTTCCTTTCTCTTGTCAGTTTCTATGTTCAAATTAGTTTAAATCGTAAGTGTTACGCTCAAATCACTCGTGTTTGAGTATTTAATCGACAACAAGTTCCTGACTTAACTTGTTTGTTTAGTTGTAAATTGTTTCTTGTGCTGTTTTTGTTGTAAGGCAGCTGCCGTGAATGCCTAGGGTAGGTGGCTGGTTGAGAATTAACAATGTAATTTTGTTACAGTTGACAGACGTACTTATGTCAAAAACATTGTGTAAGTTTAAAATTTGAATGCATGTAATACAGCTACATTTTTTTTATATTTTCATTCAGAGTCCAAGGAATTTATGTTGATTATTGAGTTATAACAATCATTGCATGTTATATTATAGGCTCAACGAGCCAGCATGTAAACTGTTTTAGCACCAATCTTGCCTTTATATCATACTAGCTGCTGTACTCGTGCTTCGCAACGGGAAGATGTACTATACCGCCTAATCCAAACATTTGTTAAGTAGTTCAAATTTATAAACAAAGAGCCACCAAATCTAAACAAAAAAGTATGACGTACATTGTAACTGTCCTACTGTTTACATTTAAATATATAATCAATTTTTCATAATCAATGACGTAAATAAACCTACCACATAGTTCTGTTGCGTAAAATATTTTAATCAATTTGTTTGGATCGCTGGTCCGGACTAATAAGCTTGTAGTAGTTCTAACGGTTTACATTAAAATGTCAAGTCAACGCAACGGTAAACAAATATTGTGAATTTTTTCATGCTTCCATGGAGACCAATTTTGAAACCCTCACCTCAAAACTATGTTTGGGCTGTATGGGTTTAGTATTTTAGTTGTGGCAGCCGCATGGACAAACAGACAGACACCACCTCAATTTTATAATAATACTAGCTGGCTCGACAGACGTCGTCCTTTCCTAATGTGGTTTTATGTCAAATGCTCGTTCATTTCAAGATGAGCTCGTTCGCATAGCTCCTTTAGGTTGAACTCGTTTGCTGCGCTCACTTGCCTTCAGGTTAGCTCGTTCGCTACGCTAACTCTCCTCCAGGTTGAAGTTCGTTCGCTAGGCTCACTCACCTTTTGTTGCAAATTAGCTGTTTAACTTTTTAATGCTATTGAACGTCACCGAATCATACTGTTTAGTTGAACCAGCTGTTAAGATTCTTTAATTCCATTTAAATATGAGTACTCATAAGCTTAACATGGGACACTCCAGAGCCACTGGGGTGGAGCCCTTTTGATGGATCTGCACCAAACTTCACACAAACAATCCTTTAATAATGCCTGAAAGTTTCATTACAATCTGTTTAGCGGTTTCGGAGTCCATAAAGGACAAAACAAACTAACCAAAAAACAAACATACATTGGATTTTATATAGGATAGATAGATTTAAATAAATAAACCATGAGAAACTCGCCTCTTGATTCCAAAAACATTAATAGAAACTAGACAGAATAGATTTTAATAAGTTAAGCCTTAAAATATTACGTCAAAATATTCCATTCAATTTGCTTGCAAGATGAAGGGGCTTAAGTACATAGGCTATTTACGCCACTTTGTCTTGCAAGCCTCGAATTCTCTAAGACAATCACACGCTCTAAGGTGGGTATTTTTATTTTAAGCTGATAATGATTGCACAATGACTGTAGAATTGAGCAAGATGATATGTAGGTTTGTTACTGACCTATAAATTAGCTATCTCTTTATTCGGAACCATTTATATAAAGGCCAATGACCAAGGACAGTAGGGTCCATTTTCAAACCATCAAAAAGCTACTGACTTTTCTCAAGAACAAACCATCAAGCTTCTGCTTGCTAGGGGAGCACTGTAACGAATCAGAAACATTTTTATAACTAGCGTCTTGTTGAACTTTATTATTTAAAATACATGCATTAAACATTTTTTTTAGCATGTATGGAGATTTCAGTCTGCTATGTAAACATTACCAACCTTACCCTAGATCATTTGATTTTAATTTGATTGTGCCTGCCTGAAAGAGAGTTGAAAACCTAGAAATTTTTTTTTTATTTACAAACATAACAAATTTCGATTAAGGTTTATTCATATCAATCAATGCAATATTAGTTTTACATTTTGTTGAATGTCGCCGTCCCATAACCAGCCATCCAACCCCTGCCAATTAAGTATATTACCTCAAATAGTTAAGGTACAAGTGCTAAAGTTTAACTTTGTATATATTTTTTACAATCGGATGCTTGCTACATTTTAATATTGTTTTTTAATTTTAAGTATTTATGAAAGTTAAATACAAATCGAACGAGAAGTGTACGGGCGGTTAGTTAATGTATTTTAATTTTAAATGTTTAGTATATGTATTTTTTTAGTAATTTATAAAATTTGTAATTGTGACATAGTAGGTCTATATATATTTGTCCTAGGTTATTTCTAAGAAAAACTGTGTTTTCAGTTTGTATAGCACAAAACTGTAATCAAAATTCTGTGAACTGTTTTTGACCAATTAAGACGTTCAAGATCAAAAGTCGAACTAGAGAAATTGAACTTTTTAAATATTTTTTATTTTTTAACAATGTCAAACCTCAATTTGACCCTTAAGAATATTTGTAAGTAATTTATTTTATTAACAACATTAACTGATGTCAATAAAACGTTTTTAGGTATCGAGTTGTTTTTTCATTCATACCTTTGCACAGCTATAGCTAGTAAGTAACTTAAACTATAGATTAATTTCCATAAAGTTGACATGCCATTCTTTTCAGCGAATTTCCCTATAGGGAAGTAGCTATTACCGTAGGTGGCACAGTAAGACCTAGGCCCGGTGCCGATTTACTTTTTCATTTTGATGTCCCCAGAGGTTAAAAGCACCATTCATTAAAATTTATACATATAGAGTTATATATATGTCCGTGAACATGATAACTTGAGTAATTTTTGTCCGATTTTGATGAAATTTGCTTTCAAGGTGTAAGACGGGATAAACTTAAATAAATTCGTGAACCAGCATCATCGGACCATGGGAATGGGGTTTTGTGGGGGGTTCTTTAGGGTAAAAATTGGTTTTTCTAATTTTTGACCCTCAAATACCAAATTTCCCAATTTATATCTAGACCTTATTAAATAAAAAGCTTAAAAAAAAGATGATTTAGTATAACAAAGTGTTTTTGTACAGTTATTGGCAACGGATAAAAATCAAAGAATTGTAAATTTAAAATTCCCATGTTATTCTTATGGAGCATATTGAAAATGATGTAGTTTGCTTGTTTATGGATATATTTTGATCAAACTTGGCAAATTTATTTATTTTATTCTTAGCTATTAATATTTTACCAAAACCCACTTCATTAGTTTCAGCTTATAATAGCAGCAAACCTAGGTACATAAGTTAAACCTAATGTTATTTAAATAGATTTAGTTAAAAATCATTCAGAGAAATGGAAATTCGTTTTGCTGCGGCGGGGGTATTTTATGTTTGTTTATTTACAACATTCTACATGTATTTATTTCCATATCATAGTATAAAATACCACAGCTGCAGCAAACCTGCAGACAGCTAATTTCAACTTGTCTGATTGGATTTTTACTAAGATACTTCCAAACAAGAAAGAGCAAAGTGGCATGAATTGTTGCCAACTTATTTTCAAGCGTACACACACATATTATGTGTCTAATAAAAGCACGGTTTGAATACTGAAAATGAGTGTGGCAAAAGTAAGTAAATGCAGCAATTAGCTACTTTGCGTGCTATAATCAGTATAAGAATGCCCGCTTTATCAGGTAACTGTAGGAAAAAGAATTTACTAGCACTCTCTATGAATGGCTGATCCAACAGTGGATTGTTTAGTAAAATAAAACCCCCAGAGCACAGGTTATGTATAATATCCAAGTCAATGGTTATTCTAAAAGGACAATCTTGTGTTAACCACAGAGATGCAAGTTACAGAGGAAACAGTCAATGGTTCACTCTAGTGGTGTCTAGCACTAGTCGCTGGTATCTAGGGCAAAGTCCAACACCACCCCCACCTCCGCGGTGGAAGAAGACCCTGTGGCCTGTGCAATAGGAATTTCCACACAATGCTCATACCTCGGGCTCTTCCTTGCTCGTCACAAGTATATTTCCCGCATAACATACTAGAGCTGAAAGCGCACCGTGTTCACAATAAGCAAGTTTGCTTTGTACCTTCTTGGTACCTTACTTCTCTGTTGGTTAACAAATTCTACCTCTTAGAGATCTAAAAAAATGTCTTAATAATTTATGTATGTTCTTAATCATTAAGTAAACCAACATTTAACTAAAGTCATGTTGAAATTATAAAACACTGTAAATATAAATATAGTTTATTAAGTAGCAAAAAGTGTTAATTACAATTGACAATTTTCTATGAAGCTGCAAATTCCAAATTCATAGATTACAAAATAAGGCTAATAATACAACAAATTTTGCTAAATTCTCTAAAGCATATTATTTTATTAGTAGAAAAGGAATAGAAAATGTTTTTCACAACATCCAAACGTTAACATAACATGTCTTATAAAACCTTGAACAGTTTTAACCTAATAAATAAAAATTGTGCTTTGTTTTGCAAGAAAAACACAGTGTTAAAGCCATTTGCATTTAAATTCATGAAAATATTGCTTGTGGAACAAATATTACATCAAAAGAATGAATTTGTTTTGTAACACTAGGTGTTCCTAAAAATCTAAAATATTGAATGCGTCTGCATATAAAACCTGAATGTACAGTTACAAAAGCAAGGCAATTGGAACAAGGCACAAATGTAATTAGAAAAGGCATTTAGAAAAGTAGATTTCTTGATATCCACAAATTTGATCATTTTGAAACTATTTTGGTAGTAAAAAGATTTCCAGTATTGGTGGTAAAAATGTGCTTAAAGTTGGCATGGCTAATATGCAACAAATTTATGAACCAATCATACAATGTGGTAACCTCCATTTTTCTCGAGAACTGTTCAATTAAATTGTAATACCAGTTTAAAACATGGAACCTACAAAATACTTAATTGAATAAAATTAAGAAGTTTGAATACAAAAGTGTGAAACATTGGTTAAAGCTTTACTTGGTGCATAACATTTAAAATGGGTTTAAAACACAATTAACTAAATAACCAATAATTTGAGATCAATTACACTTTTTACAAACCAAAGTAAACTGTACAAACATCCTTATAGTTATAGTAGTTTTCATAAACACTGAAAACAAAATACTGTAACTTATTCCTCTACTAAAAATAAAGTTCTTAAGCTAATTCATTGAACACATCATAATCACAATTATTGTACCAGTACGCAATTCGTAGTACTTAAGAGAATAAAATTATTTGAACTTACAAATTCAGTTTGTAGCAAATACTTATAATTTGTTTGTATTGAGGCAATTAAACTCATAAACACTAAAGTCAAGTTATAAGGATAAAATCAAATAAAAATATATTTTACTGTTGTCGGGGAAAACCATTTATTATTCCATATTGATAAAAAAAATTAAAATAAACCTGAGTATAATTGAAAAAAAGAAAAAAAATTCTAAATCAAATCTACAGTACCGTAATAACAAAACAAAAAACACTTTTCAATTTAAAACAGTAATAAAAATAAATTAACTGCCTAAAAATGAACCTCATCATTAAATCATCACCTCAGCTTTGTTATACCTAGGTTGTAATATGACAAGTTGTTATTGTTGTAATAAGACAAGTTGTTATTGTTGTAATAAGACAAGTTGTTATTGTTGTAATATGACAAGATGTTATTGTTGTAATAAGACAAGTTGTTATTGTTGAGTTGTTAGGGATAAAATATTTCAAAGGTGTATCTCATTTAAAAATATTGTCTGCTGTTTTTTAAAAACAGTAAATTTTATTTATTTGGATTATGTAATTTAGTTTGAGATCTAATTTATTAAAACCAGAAAATGCAATATTTTTCAGGCAACTTTTATTTTTGTTTATTTGGAAACTTTTATTTCAGTTTGTTGGTTGGCATTAAAATAATTTAAGGATCTTTTTGGGTCGGGAACATTGGAATCGCGACAAACGTTCACAGATATTACTGCTATCACATGATTCCAATATTGCTGGGTTTAAACAGTTTTGAAATAGGTTGGAAATACAATTAAAACATTTTACCTACGACCGTTTTCTAAACTAGCCGTTTCAGTTCAGTTCTTAGAATGAACAAGATTCATTTAACAGATTTGTTTACTTAGATAACAGCAAGATTTTACTTAACAACATGAGTAACGGACCAACTAGGTTCAAGGATTGAGAGAAAAGAAGTAAAATTGTTATGCTTTGAACATCAACTAATCAGTTGTTAAGTCCGATTTAATTGTTAATGAGTGGTGCAATGAATGTTTCATTGCATCACTGTCAGTGGCTCTGAGAGGTTATAAACAAAAACATAGCCTCTCTTAGAAGTTATTAGTAGTGATTGTTAGTAATTAAAAAAAACTATCGTAGGTAAAGTGGTGTACTCAACTCGGGTAAATAGTCTTAAAGACACTCGTAGAAGTTTTAAGGCACTTGCCTTAAATTTCTACTCATGTCGTTAACACTATCTCTACGCGATTGTTGCGTAAACTACTATTAAATATGGATCAATTTTAAGAAAATTATTTTTTAATTTTTTTATCGATTTCCACAGTAGATTCTGTATTGTATTTAATTGTAATCAGGATAAAAACTGAAGATCTGTCGATCTGTGACTCTGACTCTATTTTTTAGAATTCACATTGGAGATTTGAAATTCCCGGATTCGACCATCATTAGAGAAACCACCTAGAATATTATTTTCATATGATCTTCACCGGTATTATGAGAACCGCTTAAAAAGTTATTTATTGCATGATCTTCACAGGGTAGCCTAAGTTAAGATTCACCTAGAACTCCAGTTGATCTACTGCAGGTTCAGTTATCTGGGCAAGTCGTAAGCAAACTCAGAATTCCAATCTCTCAGGAAGACGTCCTCAAGTTGTTTCCGCAACTGTGTATCTCCTTCGATGACAACCCCCACCCCTCCAGTGGACACAAAATAATCCCCAGACCAGTTGGACGTTCCTGTGGACAGTTAATTGTGCAATGAGCAAATTAAATTGACAAATCAATGATAGGCCACAAAAGGCTAGAGGATTGTTGCATGCTTACTTAATGAGAACAACTTTATCCTGACACTAGAAACACATAAATACACAATAAACGTTAACTTGAAATAATAAATTGTGTCAATGACAGTGAAACATTTTTTTGTAAAGTGTAAAGTTTTTTTTCTTATCATAGCCTACCACAATGGACTCATTTTTGTAAAGGTAAGCCTACCCCAGCAGCAGTAATCCTTACAATTTATACCCTTATGCTTTTTGTGATACACCCATTAAACTCAAAAGGTTATTGTTTGTTCTATGTTGAACATTGTATCTAAATAAAAATCTAATTTGTTAAAAATATGTTATTGTTAAAATATGTGTTGTGGTATAAAGTAAGAAGACATGTGATGAGTTGTTGAGTCAAAAGGTCACTATCCCAATAAATCTTTATAAAGGTTACACTGAAAATGAACTTTGCTAGTAAAAGTTTTCCTCGTAAATTGTATTCTTAACATTTTGTTTCCTCCCAAGAAACTACCTACTTAATAAAATACTGTAATGCTTTAAAAAACTATTTATTCTTTCTAACATACTTTTTCATACACCATAATATAAAAACCTGATTTCTTTACACTTTTCAGTTCAGAAATTAACAAAACTTTTTTCACCTAGGACTTATTCGGATTAGAACAATTTTGGAGTAGCCGGGTTTAGATAAGGGAGTCTTAACTAACTGTTCTAATTTTTTTTAAACCTTTTATTGAAATTTTGGTTTCATTTTTTTTATCCATATTTAACTCTGAATATGAAGAAGAAATACTTTACTTTTCTCTTCAACATACTCACCTATATAGGCTGTGGTGTCTGTAACCATGTACTTGTTATGGTTGACTCGAGCAAACGGGATCTTGCTTTGCTCTGCTGTTTCCGGAACCACAAACAGTTTCTGGAACGATTCCAACCATATAGTTGTATTGTAAAATTTACACATGACTCATGACAAACTTAATCTTTGTGCAACAATATTTAGCCTGTCCTAATTTGTAAACATTTATTACCAATATGAATTAGCTTACATAGCCTATTGTTTTGCTATGGCAACAAACAGCTGTTATCAAAGTATCGAACTATTGGGTATGTTGCTCTTGTATTAGTGTGGAGCACTTAATATTACTATTGAATAAACAACAGAAATCAGAAATCAGAAATCAGAAACGTTTTATTGTCCTTCAACATTTACAACAAATGCAATAGACAAAAGTCAAGAAAATTCAGCTATTACATAAACAGCCTATTTTTAGGCAAAACAAAACAAGCCTAAAAACAAGTCAAAATAGGCTATACTAATACATATGCTTACAAATAAAAAATAATGTGGAAATGTGAGGACATTAAAAGTTAACTTCGTCAACCTTAAAATATTCTTCTAAGTCATAAAAAGGATTTAAAAGTAACCAATCCTGAGCTCTTTTTTTAAATGACTTAAGGTCCAATTCTTTGGCATTGATGCTAAGCTTATTAAATAATCTTAATGAAATAACATGGTAACTATTTTTACATTTACTTAACCTACAATAAGGCACGTCTAATAGGAACTGATTACGTGTGTTGTGTGAATGGATATTAAACCTATAAACATGGGAACTAGTATTTTTCTTAACCCTAAGTAAACACATAAATATGTACAGATTAATCACAGTCAATATTCTACTTCTTATGAACAATGGTTTGCAATGCTCTTCAATTGGAGCTTTGTTTATTATTCTAACTACCTTCTTTTGGAGTATTAACACTTCACTTATGTGACTACTGTTTCCCCAAAGAATCAAGCCGTAGCTAATTATGGATTGGAAAAATGCAAAGTAGGCTACCCTTATGTAGGTTTCAGGTACAACACCCATAAGATTTCTAAGCAAACAGATTACTCTGGACAATCTTGCACAAACCAAATCTATCTGAGGAGACCAGCTTAAACATTTATCAATTTTTATTCCTAAAACTGTAATTACATTTTCATTGTTTACATCTTGTGACTCTACTGGAATGTTTTTAAGACTACACAATAGATTTTGAGTTTTATTCTTATTAAGACAAAGGCTATTAGCATTAAACCACATATAAGCTGAATCAGTTGTGAGCTCAGTTACTGACATAAGATCATAAAAGTTGGGATGAACACTCAAAAAATTGGTGTCGTCCGCAAACATGATGGTAGAGGATCTTTTAATATTGGCTGGTAGGTCATTGATGACTGTGATAAAAAGAAGGGGGCCTATGATCGAGCCTTGTGGCACACCTGAGCTAACTTTCAAGCAGCTTGACATCTTGCCTCCTGCATCAACGAATTGAGTTCTCTCTCTCAGGTATGAATCAAAAAACTTAAGCTGTACTTAAGCTGTAACATCCTATGCTCTTAAATAATATTACTAAATACTAATGCATCTTGGGACACAATTTAACCATTTTCAAGGATTTTCAAGGATACTGTCAATCAAAGGAATAAATATGACTGTTTGCAAAGGTTAATAGCAAAGCAAAAAATACTTCAACAACAAAGCCTAGTATTTTTACATTTCAGTAAGTCTAAATATGGGTATTTCTAATTGTAAAATGAAGTGTCACAACTATGGTAAACACACTTAACAACTGTACCTACTAAAGTATAATTTGGTAAATAATGGCTATTTTTTTTTTAGAAATGTTATAAAAGTTAGAAAAATGGACAGCTTATGTCCTTACCTTATGGCATGTTGTATTTTTTTCTAAGGACAAAAGAAACACTTTAACCCAGAATCATACATTGAAAACAGCTGTTTATGCTGCATTATGACAAAAGTGCAATTTTGTTTCAATCAAGTTACTACTATTAGCTAAAACAGCGAGTGATTAGCAAGACTTTAGTCTTTTCACCAAATTTAGGGGGGAAGTTCCCCCACTACATTTTGCTCAATGTATATGTTACAGTTGATTGACGTGTTGGTAAACGTCAGCAGTTGAGCTATTGTTTTAAAGGTAGGATAAAGTGGGGGGTATTGATTTCTTCCCATAAAGCCGCCTACATTTTGTGAACGGAGTATAAAAGTCAGTCAACTTTAATCTTCCACTTACCACTGAGATTTTAGCTCCGTAAGCTCCCGTAAGATCACTCAAGGACGCTAGGAACAGTTTCATTTCTTTCCGTGAGTGCTTCCACCAGCTAATCAGAAGACGCACTTCGACCGATTGGTCGATCGCCACATCTCGTAAAGCATTGTCAATTACTCCCCAGTACCTACATGAACATGTGCTACTGTAAACATTGGCATCAAAGAATACAGTTGACAGATTATGGAAGTACAGTAGAAATCTGCTAATTGTTTGAGACTGACAGGGTGCTGGATTACCAAAAATGCTGGACTGTTTTCAAACTGAAATAAACATGATGACATAAGCTCTGAGCCTTATCTTTAGTCGGCTTGGTGGTAGATGTCCTGCGTCCGATCAGGTTACTCAAGAGCTGATGAAGTACTTGATAACACACAGTACATTACAAAAGTGTGTTGTGCAGAACTGGGCATATTATGAACTTTCTTATATCATTGTTGACCAGCACAGTTACTGTTATTTCTGTTTAAAAGTGTTCTTGGACTAAAGGAGACAGGAAATATGTACTCAATGAGGTACAACGTGGCAGCTTGTTAAGTATTAAATTCCCCCACCGCAGCAAACCTAAGCGAATTTACATTTGCCTGATTGGATTTTCACTAAAATATCTCCTTAAAATGCTATATATCCTACTAATATTATAAATGAGAAAGTTTGGATGTATGGATGTATGGATGTATGGATGTATGTTTGTGACAAGTGAACGCGAAAAATACTGGTCGGATTGGGCTGAAATTTGGCATGATGATAGCTCACATTCCCGATTAACATATAGGCATATTCTTATTTCAAAAATCCTTTCGGGCTCCGCCCCAGTGGCTCTGGAGTTTCCCACGTTTACCTTATGAGAAATGGAATTATTGAATCTTAACAGCTGTTTCAATTAAACAAGTTGGTTCTGTTCTATGATGTTCAATAGCATTAAAGTTACAAGGATTACCAACAGGATGCAGCACTATTATTTCTTTTACATTTATGACAACAGCTAATTTGCAACCAAAAAGGTGAGTGAGCGTAGCGAACGAACTTCAACCTGGAGGCGAGTTAGCGTAGCAAACGAGCTCCAACCTAAAGGTGAGTGAGCGTAGAGAACGAGCTCCAACCTAAAGGTGAGTGAGCGTAGCGAACAAACTTTAACCAGGACGTGATTGAGCCATGCGAACGAGATAATCTTGAAAATTAAGAAGTTAAACGGGGCAAAGCCCGCGGGTTACAGCTAGTTATGTATATATTTATTCTCTATTCAAATAACATTAGTTTAAAAAGTACATAGGTCTGCTGATACAGGGAAGGTAATAAGGTGTTTTGTTTTTATAGTTAATTGTTTATAGTAGCCTATAGCAGAAAATTCCAGAGTTTTATCAAAATCTGTTTATAAACAAGCAAACTACAACAGATTCCTTATTTTCCATAAAAATAACATGTGAATTTTAAATGTAGGGCCTACAGTTTTTTGGAATTTTTTCCGTAACCGTCAGGCATACAACAATGCTTCAATATACTAAATTATTTGTTTTTTCAACTCTACAAAACGGTTTGGAAAGAAATATCAAAACTTTATGTACTTGGGGTCAAAAAAGAGAAAATCCATTTTTTTTACATATAAACCCCTGTTCACATAGTCCAATCATGCTGGTTCACGAACTCATTTGTATAAACGTAGGCTTTCATATTTATATACCAAATTTCATCAAAATCGGATTATTTTTGCTTGAGTTATCGTGCTAACCAACACATATATAAATAGTGTATGAATCACGTATAAACAGATCAAATCAAATAAAATCAATCATATATATTATCATATATAACATGTATTTGAATCGAAACGGATGGTGTTTTAGGCCTCTGGGGACCTCAAAACAAGAAAGTGGTCCAGGTCTTAGCATGAGACCTACGGTAATAGCTTATTCTCTATATGGGAAATTCGCTAAAAGTGAATTTTAATCCACATAAATGTGTTTGATATCCACTTAAACATAATACCTTATTTTTAACTTTACAGTTGCATTTAATTAAACACACTACTATGATTACTTTTAAAATACATAGTTAACATTACAAATGTCAGGCCATTTCTGATGCTTCATTGGGAAACATCGAGTAGATATCTCATGTACATAGGTACCTGTACATTCAATAAAAGTAGGCTATTTTAAATAATTAATACAAAAACTATTTCTTCAATAAAAAAAAATAAATAAAAGTAGGCCTACTTCCTTTATCGAAACAAAGCAAAATTTACAAAATGACAAAAAGTTTTTTGTCAAGTTCTATGTTAACCTCCTGCCGAGTAAGACGGTCAGGATTTTCATCACTGTCACAAACTCACACTAAAATATCACAAAATAGCCTTACTTGGCTTTTGATGTGTAAATGTAGAGTGGGAAGTAGTCCATGACTGCAATGTAGACAAACTTGTTGGCTTTTGCGATGACAGAAGTGACTGCATCTCCGTCAGACGTACGACCATCCGGACAGAACTGAGGGGGAGAGCTCTGTAGTAAAACAAACAAAATAAAGTGAAACGCAGGGAAAAAATTAATCCACGGCTAAATTAAAAAACAATCTACAATGGCAAATTGTTTTTAGTACAATTTGAGACAAGTTTTGGTCATAGTTAGTTAAAAGAGGTTATAGTCAGAGTTCCTGTAGAAGATACTGTCCATGAATATAATGTTGATTTATTTTTATTATTATTTTTTTCTTCAATGAGGAAAGTTTATGATTATTTAGAAACACAATGGGTATTTTATAAGTACACTTATAGTAAGAGGGAATTGTTACTACTTAAAGATACTCACAGAAAGGTAGATAAGACCATTGCTTGACAAGTTCATGGGAGAATCTTTGTTGTAGACAGTAGAGAGAGATTTCGGCCATTTTGCTGGAACTTGAGCACCATCCGCTCCCATCATCCAGTAGACCTGAGGTCCAACAATAATCACTTTGCTTATAAAAAAAATACTTCTCTTATGACATCCACTTTTATATGATTTGTTTTGTAATTTTTATATACAGCAGTTTAGCATGTCTGCGAAGAGTAAGATTAATTTTGAACTAATTATTGTTGTTAGTGTAGATAAAGTACACTTATTTAGCTTAAATAGGTAAAAGTTTTAAGGAATCCAAGTATACCAGTACATCAAAAGTATACGAACATCAACCAAAGAGCTATTTCTGGTAAATATTCATCTTAGAACCATTTGACCTAGATGAGTTCAAATAGTTTTCCCTAGGTAGTCTCTGTTAATTATTTAAATTATAACCAAGAAATATTATTCATAGAGCCAAAAAATATTATTTATAGAAACATTGGTCATATCGTTAAAAAGCCAAATATAGCTATCTCTAGCCCAAGTTAACACTGCTTCATCTGAATTGTAAAGTAGAGGTTACCCACTGGTAAAGCACGTAAAGATCCATCACTCAATGTATTGTCTGAGTTTTACACTCATATTCACATGAGTGATTGGGACCTGTCCCTATTTGGGTTTTCTAGGGTACTGACAATATATTACAAATTAGAAACCTATCCACACCAGTCAATCGGTGTGAAGTCAGTACAGAATACACTCCTTATAGCGAAGATGCATGTTGAACCAGATTTTCAAGTCTTGTTTCTCCTAATGCAGAAATGCTCATGTCTAGAATTAGAAAACAACTTATTCTCTCGCTATTCCCTTAACTAACATGTAGTCAACTAAGTTCTCAACTCACGTCAAACAATTTGCCGACGTCGTCCGCAATACAAGGGCAGTCAGAGATGTATATTCCCATCTCCTTGACCTCAGTGAGGGATCGCCAGTCGGTGTTAGCGCTGCCGATGTAAGCGTGTTGTCTGTCTACCAGCCACAACTTGGTGTGAAGGATCCCACTGCCGACCAGCCTGGGGAAGTTCAGACTTCGGACCTAACACAGATTCAAAAAATTAAAAATTTTACTGTGGCAAACATAGCACAAGGAACTTGAATAATTAAAACACCAAGGGAAGGTAAAAGAATTGAAGTTATAGTTCGGCCGCTTAGAAAACGACCTGCGCGCTAATGCTAAACCAATGCTGGAGGAGGTCGCTCTCTACGCGGCCGAACTATAGTTTGTTAATAAAGGCTTTAAAAATTGAAGTCTCTCACTTTTGTTCACACAACTGATTTGAAATGTGTTTATTCAGTAAATTAAAGGCCTTATTGTATTATCTTTATAAATAATTTCTTGATCAGTATTGTATGTGTACTTTGATTTACTTTTGGTATTTTTTTTTTAAAGTTTTTCAAACAAGTGGGTGTGATGTTGTGGATGTGGTTAGTGTCTCTGACTTAAATGTGGGAGCAACTAGTTTGATTCCTGACATATAAAAATATTTTGAGGGATTTGAAACGCTTTCCCTTAAAAGAATTTAACTTTCTTTCATATAAAATACTGCTGGTGTAGACACTAGAAAAAAAAATACCTAGTTAAAGATGTGCAAATTTGTCTGGCTTTGGTGGCAACATTGTTGATTGATTTTACAATCATAAACCATGACTAACAATCTGTTAAAAACCAACTCTAGCAACTTTTCCCAAACTAATTACACAACACAATTTTCATAGCACACATAAAGGTTGAACAAATTTAAATTATCTAATTTTTATTCAAATCTTTTAATTGTGTATTTTTTTTACCAGACTCTAGTCCAGGGTAGTTTTTTAAATATTATTTCAGGCTAGGACTAGAGGTTGCGGCATTATCACTTAGATAAAATCCATCAGTGATTGGCGGGATTTTAATCAGAGACCTCAGGGAACAAAGTCCCATACTCCCGAATACAACCGTGTAGTCAATTAGAAAGTACCTAGACCAGACAGATAATCTTGACTACCCAGCTAAGACTTACTGGAAAAATTAAAGTCAGGTGATTTACATACATAGCCTCCTCTAATACAAGGCTGCGGCATTGGTTTGTGGCAATGCTGCATCGACATGCCTATTACCACTGTAATAACAGGAATAACAATAAACATTGTACAGATGCTCCATTACAAATTAGTGCACAGCTGTTCCAGTATGCCGAGTCAGCAGCATTGCCACTTTCGTCCCTCCGCAGCCTTGTGATAGAGGAGGCTATGATAAAATACTATCTGATACTACTTTTCACAACAATTGTGTGAATAGCTAACTAACTTTCCATGGCTCAAAATGGTTGGTTCTTATTTTTATTATTTCCATTCTTACCTCTGCAGCTTTCTTCTTCACTAAAACTTCAGTTTCTGTATTCGGTTCACTTTTTGAAGGAAAGTTTTGAGCAATTTTAACTTTAAGTTTTCTTTCAGTTCCGGCAAGAAGTAGTTCATCAAAGATTTTCTGACCCTAAAACACAAGATAACTACTCATTAACATTGGGTTTTCATTTTTGGGTTCATTGGGTTTTTGTTCAAGGAAAGGCTTTAGCAAGGCTCCACTGGAAAAAACAGGCCATGCTGCAGCACGGGCAGCGCAACGCTACGTCACAGTGGTGGATAGTTGTACTAAACTCTTACCATTAAAATCTTACAAACAGCCAGCTTGTTTATTTATCTAAAACATATGGGAATGGCGATGGCAATGAATTTATCAATGAAATCTATCCACTAGTGTGACGTCATGGATCCTGCAGCATGGCCTGTTTTTCTAGTGGGGCCTTGGCTTTAGGCCAGGATTTTGAATTGTATACAGAAGACACACAGAAGACACAATATATCGTCCTTGGGGGGCTTTGTTAAGTCTAGAGAAAGAATAGTACTGAAAGTGAAAATGTCTGAACTCTATTTTACTTTATCTACAATTAGGGATGGACGAGATTGGATTTTTAGTTCGAGACGAGACGAGACGAGATTTTTTATTTCTCATAAAATTTCGAGACGAGATCGAGACGAGATTTCTCTTCTCATACACAAAGGGAAATGCACGTTCAAAATTTTTACCTGATTTTGTAACATTGTTAGATGACTGTTTGAATACAAAAATAATGATTATAGGCAAGAATATTTACAATCTTTTATTAAATAACATCAGCATAACATTGTTTTATTAATCACGCCTAACTTATTAAAAATGCCTACGATTAGGAAACATGGTGATATCAGTTAGGATAGAGTTCAACTTATCCTAAAATAAAATAAATCATAAAATAAAAGCAATATTAATTTTTATAAAATAGTTACTTGTTTTGACTTTATAGTAATAAAACATTCCTCACACTGCTTACACTTAACAAAACTTCTCAAATGTTATTAAAGTAATATTATTAAAATAATTAAAGTAATATTTACATTAAAATAATTAATTAAATAAGAACGCCTTCGAAAAGGAAACGCAACTACAACAGCGTGTTGTAGTTGCGTTTCCTTTTCGGTACAGGAGCGTCCTGTATTGCGGGTATTGCATTGACTTTCTGCAGGCGTTTTTAATTTTTATTTTTTTTTATTTTTTATTCTCGTCTCGATAAAAATCTCGGCCAAAAAGAAATCTCGTCTCGTGTAACGAGATTTAAAATTTCCCAAAAATTTCCCGAAATTTCGAGACTTGACCATCCCTATCTACAATTAATTGACAAAGTAGGGGACGAAATATTGTGTCTTCCGTATGTTCTATGGCCTATCTGTACTTCTTCAAGGTAAGCTTCCTGGTATCCTTTTTATTAATTATTTTCATCATACAAAAATGATATTAGGAAATGAGGTAAATGAATGGATGATAAAAATAAATTAAGGATATCCAATAATATCCTAAACACATACATTCTACTTTTTCCATTAATTTTTATTTCAAACAGTCATAGTCATTAAGTGATCTTTTTATTTATTTTTTTTTTTTTTTGCGGCTTCTTGTGCATAGCTCTTACCTCTCCAGCAGTAGGGAATTGGCCACTGGTTCCGTTTGTCAGAGTCCAGTAGTACGAGGCAATCTCTACAGTAGATGTAGCCTTGGCTAGAAGCTCAGACCACACAGAGAATGTGGAGGGGAAGGGGGTGGAACCGTTCCGATAGCTCATACCATCGGGAATGGACTCTACGAGAGAGAACCTAGGCAAGAATTGAAATCAAGATGACCTAGGGATGAATTGTTTCAAAGTTAAATAAGTGAGTGAGTTAGTTAATCTAAGTTGTTCTTAAGTTACTCTGTGCATAAGCTTGTAAATCAGTATGAAACAATAAAGATTTTTTGATTCTGATTTCTGATACATTAAACAACCTGGGGATCAGATCCTTCGCTGAACAATTTGAAATTATACTGTATCCTATATATTAATAGGCAAGCATGTTTCTTCGGAATATGTTTCAAACCAAAAAGACTCCTATGAAGAAACTCTAATTGTGTGGCTAGGAAAATTCTCCTAAAGCTGGGTTTCCTTGGCGAGGAAGCGTAATGTGGAGAGCGGAAAGTGGAGAAGCAATTTTCTGTTAGTCCAGTGGCGGTCCACCCTGCTTCTAGGAAACCATTATCATTAAATTACCTAAGACAAGAGAAGAGTGGACTCCCCGCACCTAGAAAAACACAGCTTAAGGCTAACTACCGATTTAAATGTTTACTTCTAGAACGTTTCCCTCAACTTACTTGCATTGAGCTTGGCATTTCCGAAGTTGCTCCCAGTCTATCTGTGCGGCCGCCTGTGCTTGTCTCTCTGCATTTTCCAACAGTGGAAGCAGGACTACCAACACGATCAGCACCAGGATGATGGATATCGGCACACAAGACGGCTTAAACCACCCTTTCTGACCCCAGCTAAACAAAACATAAAGAGTGTAACCAAGACAATCATGAAGGGAGAGATAGGTTGACAATGAGAAGGAAGAAGTCCTATATTTAACTCTAAAAAAGTAGTAAATAGTATTTTAATTCCTAAATTTTATTTCATTTTTTTAAAATTTTGACCGTTTAAGTGGATACGCCTCCTCCAATGGTCAATTAAAGGTTTTGATCAATTTTGAATAATTTTCTTTTTGAATTTTAAAGTAATGTAAATGTTCTTAAAAATTTACTGGTGAAATTTCCAACCATTATGAAAATAATTTCCTATTTTTGTTTTTGTAGTATGCTGGCGCAAATCAGAATATTTTAATTTTTCACAAAATCTCTTTCATAATGGCCGTTACTTTCATCACTTTTTATTGGTTTATTTTCTAAGCTACAAACTAACTAGCAATACGTCTTCTAAGCTTTATAATTTATACATTTTAGGATATAAAAGTTTTTAAAAGAAAATGTTTAATTTTTAACTTTTAAAAGATTTGAAAAATTATAATTTTAGTTACATAATAGCTAGAATATTTTCCATAGTTGAAAAACTTTATTAATATATGTAGAATGAGTCTTTAAAATTTAGGCAAACTAGTTAAAAACAAAAAAAGTATATACAAAATCTCCAAGAAGAACTGTTAATATTGGAATTAATACTAAATTTTAAATAACAACTTCGCCAATATTTCTGAATTTTTAATTTTTATGAGGCCTTTTGCCAGCTATGCTGGCATCATCATACACATCACAAAACTGAAGGTTATTAAAAGAAAACACTATGCGTGTTTATAATAATTTATCACTACCCAATTGGTTGAATGTGTTTACAAAATTTATTATTGGTAGTGCTTTGTAATTTGGACTAATAAAATTTGGTTCAGGTTTGTACCTTTACTCAGGGGTGCCCACAAGGGGGGGCCGTGACGCAGACTGCGTCATTGAAATTCTTGGGGGGGGGCTCAAAAAATTCAAATGGGGGGGGGGAGGCTAAAGTTAATTGCAACAGTGTTCAACGTGACGACAATCCAAAATTCATTACGAAATCGCCAGATAGAAAGTGGATAAGACAATAGTTATATTATTGAATTAAATTAGTTAAAATAGGATTTTAGGATGGTTTAGGATTCGTGTAGAAAGTTATTATTTAAGATTAGCAAGACGTGAGATCTAAGAGAGGGAGCGCACGGGATGGCTCAACTGCTGTGATAGATAAAAGATAACGCGTGGTACAGACAGCTACACAGCAGAACGCTTTGTTGACATAAAGCTCGTTAAAATGCAATCAAGTAGCAAGTACCATAGGCTACAATACTTTACACTATTGTGTATACTCGATTACCTGAGTTAATAGGGAGAGGGGGGGGAATGAAAAATACGGTTAATCCAATATAGTATAAAAACAGATGACAAACTCATTAAAACGCTGTAAACAGCCATTAAGTCACGATTTACATTTTTATAAACGAAATTCAATATTGCACAATCATTATTATTGTAAATTTCAAATAATTTATCTTGATTCAGTTGTACAAACGGCTACGTTTAAAATTGTAGCTAACTCAAACTCAACTAATCACTAGCCAAACATTACATTGCTATAAATAACGTAAATATTAAAGGAACCTTTAGAAAGTGTTATAAGGTACTGCTCATGGTAGACAGATAGGCTACCGATAGGTGCTGTATCACAGCATAGGAATTGATAGATAAGTAATAAAAAAGTGTAAAATTATATTTAGAGATAATTAAAACACTCTTAAAAAAGAATGTAACGAGAACAATCTTGTTATTCTCTTTCTTTGTTCTTCTGTTCATTAATAGGTTTCTCTTCAATTCATACACAAATTCAACAAGTCGCCATATTTAGGCCTACTCATTGGCCAATCACAGCCTTACTAAAGTTACCATGGTTATCACTCAATCACAGTGTACTAAGCATTATATCGTCATCATTCCCCAGCTGTTGTATCTGACTAAAATCTGTTGTAACATAGCGCACAGCAGACAGAAGTGTATAACGGAGCAGACGATTGTTGGCGCAAGCGTTGTTTCCATTTCATTTTCATCAAAGGAGCTGTGATGTTTCTAAAGGGAGGGAGAGGGGATCGTTATTTCGAGAAAGACGCTGACAATTCGTTATGGATAATCTGCCAATACAAAATTCCTTAAATTGTGGTGACTTATAAAACTCTAATTTTATTTATATAGAAAGATAAGTTTTCCAGTCTTGTACAACACTGATTCACGGTCTTTTCCCTGTAATCAAAATTCAAGTACAACTTGATACACACAGAATCTCCGGTTCCCGACCTGGATGATGGCTAGTTATTTAATTTAATTTACAGTTACATATTAGTACTCGTTATAAATCAAACCCGTTATGTAAGCCAAAGCGACACGGCTATTAATCTCACTTGGTTTTGGATTTGCTTACAAACGTGTTTGGAAATGGTCAGGGCCTACACAGTATTCTTAAAGAACATTTATGTAAACATATCAGTGACAGCTGGGAAAAGGAATCTTTATCAAAACAGCTGTTCGTAATTTCATATATGACGTGTTCTCTTAACAGATTATTAGTATTTCATAAATTAATGACGTATGTAGTAAACATGGAGAAAATAAACTAGAAAAATCACACAAAATTGTATTTTTGATCGTCCGTTATTTTATTTCCAAAATAGTGAGGCCATATTTTAATGGCTATAAGGACTCTCTCGCCAATCCTGTGGATACAATTAAACCATTAGAATCATAATCGGTACTCTAGTTTTCATTAGAGTAGGCATTGAGTAGGCTGCATAAAATGCCTTCTGGGCCGTGAGAGACGGACATAAATGGAGATAAGACATGTTTCAACTTCTTCAATGTATAAAACATAAATAACCCAAAATATGTATAATTCTGAGCAATGTACAGAAAAAACTATAACTTTATTGATATAGATTAACTGGGTTTGAATTTTAAATATCTAAAAAAAATATAAAACTTCTTTTATAATTTTACAAATAGTGCTGGGCGGGGGAATAATGTTTCTCATTTGTTGTGTACATCATTTATGGGGGGGGGGCTGTTGCTCAATTGGGGGGGGGGGTGCGTCATGAGTCTAGGGGGGGATGGGCACCCCTGCTTTACTTACTGCTAAGTTAAGCCTATATTAAATATAACTTACTTATAGAAAGACAAATGATGAAGCTGAAGGATTTCTTTACAATACAAATTTAATGAACTAAGAATAGGATATTACAATGAATGGGGTTTGGTATTTAAATGAACAAATACAGGGTCGCCATCTTTGGTTTAGCCTAGCTCATTAAAACAGAACAATGAGTTTACAATACTTCTAAGATATGAGTTTAATTACATAAATCTTCTCAGGGGAACTTGGCTGGCTAAAAAGATCTTCAAATATTTGAATTTATAAAATAAAATATGTCAATTATTATGAAAAATGGGATAATTTTGATATTGCCCTTAGGCTTGGATAGGTAAGTTAAATATTCCAACAATGAATAGAATGTGAAAAATTTATCAAAGTTGAATTTCGTTCTCTTGTTCAAATTTTTCTTCTGGAAATATTCTTGATGAAAATAAAATAGTTTTTGAATTCAAATAATTAGGTTCGATCAGAAAGTAAATAAAATAGGTCTGTATTAGTTAAATTTCTTGAAGTTAGGATAAGCCTTATACAAAATGGAGAGTTCTCACCAGATCTTCAGTAACAGTGTCCAATTTATATAAATCTTGAGGTGGCAGTACAAATTTGAAATGAAAAAATATATGTATAAAAGCTAAACTGTTCTTCTGTTGTTAAGTTGATGTTAAGTTAAATAATTTGAATCACTTTGACTTTAAATGTTAGGGATTATACCCTCACTGAATTTAAGGTGTTTAAGCTGCCATGTCTCAATAGAGAAGGAGGAAAATTTTAATTTTACACAGGATGTTGATCAGTTCATTGTTGAAGCCAGCTGTCTTCTTTCTTCATCACTTGCACATGCACTAATAATCAGGCTTTTGGATATTAATTCAATGTTGGGGTTTTAGAAATAATTTATACTATACTAGGACGCAAAATAAGCTAAAAATAAGTTCTACAACTTTCTACCTTTGACTGTTGATACAACTAGACATTTCCTTTCCATGTTAAATTTTTCACCAGAAGTTTAATCGAAACCGTCTTAGTTTATGTGAGCCACCGGCAGATTGCACTGATCTAAATTACTAAATTCTATCGAATACACAAACTATTTAACCAAGTTAAATCAAATGCCTTATGGTAAGAAATATCAACTGTTGTGACCCATTAACTTGGTCAGCGACCAAAAACAAGGTATTAAATTGAATTTTAGACATTAGCGCATTCTGTGATTGGCTCACACACACAACTACGTTCTTACCTAATAAAAAATTAGTAACAGCTGGTCCATATAGATAGGACGTCTACTTCAGTATCCAATAGTCACTGGTTCTAAGGCTACACTAGGGTTGCTTTCAGAGAGGTGAAAGCCAGTTGAGCGGAACAAACGTGATTTGATATTTGTATAAGTAACTAAATGTAAAAAGGTCAATAGATTTATTTACTAATGCTGGTTTTAAAGATTAAAATTATAATAATTCAAATTTACCTCTTCGAGAAGTGCATTATGGTAGTTTTGACCGGGAAAATATTACAGTAGTTGGAATCTGATATTAACATCCAAAAAGGGCATTCAAGTATAAAAAAGAGAAAGGAAATGTAACATTCAAATTCAACTGTAGCCTACAACAAAAACATTGGACTTCATTTTTCACCCTTACAATTGGTAAAAGTATTTAAGTATAAAAAAACAGTACCTATTAAAAAACGAGTATTGTATGAAAACAGGAGAGGAAATGTGACATTTAAATTCAACTGTACAGCATAAACATCGGTAAACCAAAGATTACATATGCGTTAAACTCAGCTTTCTTTGCTGGAAATAATTTATGATTGTTAATACCAAGTATTCTTGATGGAGGATATGATTGTAATGTAACTAGAATGTACGTCTTCTGCCATTATTAGGACGATTTAGCGACGGCATTTTAATACTGGCCTTAATAATACCATTGGCCATTGAATACAGTAGATTTTGATGAAAATGCTGGCTGCAAATTCAACATGGGGATGGAATGTCTAGTTGTATTGATAGTCAAAGATAAAACATAGGCCTACGAAATATGTAGGGCTATTTTAATGTAAGACTCAAATGTAAAACGCCTTTAAAAGACTAAAATAAACTGAATTATTAGTCATGTATTTCGATGTGTAAAAATGTAAAAACTGCAAAAAGACTTGCTTATTGAACAATAAAAAAAGATGGCTGAAATGTAGGAAAAACATAAGTAATAAGTAAACATCGCATTCAGCTGATTTAAGTGAAAACAGAATAATATAATAAGTAGGGAAGACATGCCTTAAATATACAATGTAGATAATATAATTTACTTCTGGACAGGCCTAGACAATTAATTATCCATACCGTGGTTAAAAGTGTACTTCTATAAGCCCAGGTTTACTTATTACGGTTGCAACTGGACGTATGTATAGTCCGTGGCTTGGCAATCAAATAACAGTATTTATATAGGATAGGCTACTGTTATCAACATTTGAAATGACTGAATTGTTACCAAATTACTGTTTCACAAAATGCAGATTCCATTTTCAGCCGAGCCATTAAAATAAGGATTTGCCTAACAATTATTAATATTACAGAATATGATGTATAGTATATAAATGATATATATAGTATATAAATGAATAGTATATAAATTATATACAACTTATCACATTCCATAAATTATATGTTAGTTTTGCTATGGTCAAAGGTCCAAATCCAAATGTTCTCTTTTCTTTTGGTCAGTATGTAATAATTTGCTAGAATCATTGACTTTATATAAAGTCAAAGCTAGAATACTGTAGATGGTTTGTTAAGTTAAGACCATATGCAAGTATTTTTGAAATCGTTTCCCCGTTTAACCTTAACCAACTATTCCATTCCAAAAGATAAAAATTATATGGTGCAACACAAATAAACAACCCGATCACCTACCTATAAACCTACACTTAAACTTCCTAATCTAACCTTACTTCAAAACACTTAGTGTAGTCACGAATACTCATAAACCCCGACCTACCTTCCCCACATGCCTAAATTAGATCAGTGTTCAATCTGAGTTTTATCAATAAGTGTAATAACTTACTGTACCGTCGATGTAATTCAACATAATATAACCTATGAGGTATTATCGGATTAAATATAGATTTCGATGCGGTTCGATATATCGCTTATTAAATCCTGATTTCTATCATTGGCTGTTTCTAATCAGCTGGCAACATAAATAGGTTCCCAAGAAAGAAGTAACCGGTCCGTATCCCTCCGCTCCTTGTTTATGCTCCGCGCATTGAGAAAGTAGTTCCGTATATTTTCTCGATTTTCAGTGAATTTCGCGCCTTAAAAAATGTTTTAACGGCATTTTCTTGTTTATTAAAATCATAGGAATGGCTTAAAAACGTTTAAAAGAAAAGTATAGAAAGTTAAGAAATACCTTATGATTCTCTTGTTTACATTTTTCTTGTAAACAAAAAAACTGTCATAGCTACTTTAGTCCCATAAGCCTAATGTTAAAAATTGGAAATTTTAAGTTCGTTTTAAATTGCATTAGCATTATCTAATTGAAATTTGTTTGTTTACAAACCATCTCATTATTAGTCTAAGTAGTCTTGTTAAGTTTGGCTGAAATGTGTTCAGCCGTTATTGAGTGATGGTGTTATATTGTTTGCATTGAAGTCGATCCCAAAGAGCTTCGCTCGCTTCGCTCGCTCCGCTCAATTAATAATTTTGGATAAAAGTGTTATTGCAACTATGGACTTAATTACAGGTTACAGGATTTTATTAACAATAATTGTTGAAATAAACAATATATTTTAAAATGTGATGATGGTTTCTGAGGGGTGATTTAAGGATAATATAATTCAAATTTACTATACATTTTCTGACAATTTATTTAAATAGGCTATATGGCGAATTTTGGTACAATAAAAGGAGTAAATTATATAACTAAAATGATGAATGAAGTGAATGGGCTATATATGACATGTAACATTGCAATTTAAAATTTATAATTGTATTTTTAAACATAAACATAACCTTCAGTTTTGTGAAGTGTCTGATGATGCAAGCATAGCTGGCGAAAGGCCTCATAAAAATTAAAAATTCAGAAATATTGGCGAAGTTGTTATTTCAAATACACAAAATGTTTAAAAAACCTAAAAACAACTTTAAAAGAGATTAAAAATAATTAACTTTTACCAACACCAAGGGTAGGAAATATTTTATATTATTTTTCCTTGTATTTCATTAAAACAAAGTTAACAAAATACTATTTATAGTATAAATTTTAAAAATAGAAAAAATGTTACGGAGGCGTATCCTCAAATTGAAACTTACAGTAGAATCAAAGGGTGGTCTTAGCCAAGGGTCTAGAATAATACACCATGCAAACTAAAATACACAGTAGGTTTGTTTATAAAATATTCATCGATGTGCAATAGTTGATTTATTTTTACTTATTTATTAACCTGGTACAGGATATAAAAAAAATAATTTTCCAATATATAAAAAAGGCTTGTCCACAGAATTTCTTATAACACTAATGCCTTTCTCATCCTTATAAGTTAGTGTGAATCAATCATGATTTCATATTTCATGACAAAACAATTAACCATTTACTGTCATGTCTAGATGAGTAACGTGTAAATTTTTAAATTTTTTTAACTTAGTAACTAGGCCTTTCTAGACTTGCAAAATAGTAATTAGCAAAAACACTCAGTGGTAGAACAAATGTTGTATCTACCACAAAAATGAATGTTTAACTACCTTCGACATAAATTACAATTTAAATGTAATTTTGACTACAGATAGGGCTAGACGTATAAAATTCTTGTGTTAAATAAATTGCAGTAATCTAAAAACTGGAAGAAATAACTTAGGTATTCCTTGAGAACAGTCAACAAATTGTTTTTTACTATATCTAACTCCATTAATAAAAGGAGGAAACTACGCGTATTTAAATAATATACTGTTAGGGTGCCCTATGTTAGAGGTGCCATAATGCTAAAATACTTATACTGTAGTTATGTAAATACTTTGTACTTACACCATTTTTTAATCAAACGTTTCACTTTTTGTTCAAGAAATGTAAAGTTTTTAAAGTAAAAAACAAAAACAAAGCTTGTAGAGCAGTTTGGTTTACTAGACTGAACATCATTCAAAGATTGAATTCAATGTCAATAATTATCATTTTCTATGGATCAGGATTGAGTATTATTTAATCTATTAAGTGGCCTTTGTTGTTTAGATAAACATTTTAAATTGTATTTTAGAATTTGACCTCAAATCTACAAAAGGTAATAATTTGTGAAAAGTATTTTGACTTAACAAAATCCAAAACAAGCACAAAATAAAATCAAAGTGATAAAATTAAAATATATATTTAACATGTAGGCCTATACAATTTACTATTAGAAAAGCTAGTTTGAAAGTAAATCAAGCATAATAAAGTAAGGTACTTGAACATTACAGTTTATCAGTGAATTGTCAAGTACCAGAAACACTTATGATATCAACAACAATATATATAAATTAAAAAATTATACGTTTGTAAACAGAAGTTCTCGTAAACAAATTTAAAGAGTTTCAAAAGAGCTTCCTTATGATAATTGATGCATAGAATAATTGTTTTTTTATCACACAGTAATAGCAAATAGTCCCACAGAAACTTTAAAATGTTGTCATGTTATGGGCCATTTATAAAAAAAATCTTTATGCAATGACACCACCATAGTAGCATTTTCTATAAAGTTCTTCCATGACTTCAGACAATGATAACACTGAAGGCTATCTAGGTCTTTAAGGAAATAAGATATTTATTTTATAAATAACTGTAATACATCAATCCATACTATAGGCTCAAGTCGAGTCGCATTTACATCAGAGTTTTACATTATATCAGGGTGCCTAGTTACTTTAGTGTATTTACTTAAGTTAGGGATGTGTGCAAGACTAAACCGCTGAAATTGGGTCGCGGCTACACAGTGAGGAATAGTTGCAAACATCATGATTATTCCTCACAATCGTAGCTACCCACGTCTGTCATCTTGGAATCACAGAAATATGAGAGGTGCATGACTCAAAATCATCATTAGAAAATAGTCATCATTTTTTTTTTCGATTGCAAACCTTGACCTGCGATCCATATAACATTTTGGAAAAGAAAATATGAAATTTCACAAATAGCCTAACTAAAATAAATGAGTCAAACTCTTTAAGATTCTTATCTATTGTATGCCTAAGCCTTACGTACTTACACTTCACTATGTTTGTCTCCAAAATCATCAAAGTCTGTTCGCATCATATACCTGGATTCCCAGTCATCATAGTCATCCGATGGCAAAGAACTGCCACGGTCCAAAATTTGCTACAAAAACACATGTTTTAGTTAACAAAGTAATGCAAAGTATACACAGAACTTTGATTTAACTCCACCAGTTAAATCAATAATCATATTTTTTTACAATATTAATCAGACTTATTTACAGTTGAGCATTAAATCATTCTACAAGTAATTTAGGCTTGAACGTGACTTGACTATGTGTGAATTAAATTCATCAAAACAAACAAAAATTATTTCAAAAGTCCTTTATTTTGTCGGTACACCATGTAACTTCCTTAATTCTTCACCAATTTCGATTAATGAGGTGTCATTTTAAAGCTCCTTTTACCCACTACATCAAGGAAGTATACAAATCACTTATTTTCTAATAGTATTTTGTAAAAACGAACTGTTATATCTTATATCATTCTGCAAGTAATGAACTTGAAATGTTTATTTACGTTATTCTATCAGCTGAGGCATGTGAATTAAATTAATAAAAAAACAAATTATTATTGTTTGTGAAAACAATTATAAAAAAATTATAAAAAAACAATTATTGTTTGTGTTTACGTCGACCAACATAATTTGCTTTCTATGATAAATAACCCTGGAGATGAAATCAGATTATTCACTTAAAAGAAGTATAAACAAGAACAACTCAAGAGTAAGTAGCCTACCACATGGATTCTTTAACTTTTATATTTCTTTATTACCACAAAGCCTTCATTTTGACATACCTACCAACCATTCTATTTATATTGAAGAAGTCCATTTTCAAACATCACCTCTTATCTTTTTTTTTATTACAGGTACTCAATGAATGGTTATGTCGTGTCGGATATGTGACCGACAGGAAACGGTTTAAATCAGTTTTTTTTACCAAGGGACGTAGAATGCTCTGTTGTATTCATTAGAGTTTTTAAGCTCATTAAGCCCTTTAGGTTTTTTACCTCATGCTAAAAAGAACTTTATTTTCTAGTTGATGAGAAACCTAAGCAGGGTCCAAGATTGGTTGAAGCTCTTTTGGGCACTTACACTATCAAAGCGAAGTTGGCTGACTTTGGTTAAACTGTAATACTACGCAGTTATCCGATATCCTTTCAAACTTACTAAAAAAGAATTTCCCTTAAAAGTAAGAACCTTTGCCATGACTTTAAATAAGGCACATGGGATGGTCAGGCGCTAAAAAAGGAAGGATTAAGGATTGAACCTGCAGGAAATTTGCTAAAAGGAAGATAAAATGCAGATTTAGAGTGTATTCCCTGGAACATCGTTATTATCACTCCCTGACAACATTATTTAGAGATGTTTTCAAACTGCGAATTGTTTGTAGAATTTTTAAATGAGCATATCTTTTATGAGCTATGTGACATTGAAGACAACGTTGTGTAAAACAAACAAGAATTCAGATTCCTATATTACCATAAAATATGCTTAAGTTTATAACCCCAAAGCAGAACAACGAGCGACGCTGCGACATTGTCGCGGACACGAAACGCCGAGAAACGCGGGCCTGAGGACACATTTACGGAGTCATAACGACGATCGCGCCGTGGCCGCGATTATTGGACCGACGATCGCACCGTGACCGCGAGTCATAACGACGATCGGGCTGTGACCGCGGAGTCATACCGACAGTCACGCCGTGACCGCGGAGTCATAACGACGATCGCGCCGTGACCGCGAAGTCCTACCGACGATCACGCTGTGACCACGAGTCATACCGACGATCACGCCGTGACCGCGAGTCATACAGACGATCGCGCCGTGACCGCGGAGTCCTACCGACGATCGCGCCGTTACCGCGGAGTCATACTGACGATCATGCCATGATGGCGAGTCATACCGACGATCACGACGTGACCGCGGAGTCCTACCGACGATCGCGCCGTGACCGCGAGTCATACCGACGATCGTGCCGTGACCGCGGAGTCCTACCGACGATCGCGCCGTGACCGCAGAGTCCTACCGACGATCGCGCCGTTACCGCGGAGTCATACTGACGATCATGCCGCGATGGCGGAGTCATGCTGACGATCGAGCCGTGACCGCGAGTCATACCGACGATCGCGCCGTGACCGCGAGTCATGACGACGATCGCACCGTGACCGTGGAGTCATACCGACGATAACCCCGTGACCGCGGAGTCATACCGACGATCGCGCCGTGACCGTGGAGTCATACCGACGATAACCCCGTGACCGCGGAGTCCTATCGACGATCGCGCCGTGACCGCGGAGTCATATTGACGATCATGCCGTGATGGCGGAGTCATGCTGACGATCGAGCCGTGACCGCGAGTCATACCGACGATCGCGCCGTGACCGCGAGTCATACCGACGATCGCGCCGTGACCGTGGAGTCATACCGACGATAACCCCGTGACCGCGGAGTCATACCGACGATCGCGCCGTGACCGCGAGTCATACTGACGATCATGCCATGATGGCGAGTCATACCGACGATCACGACGTGACCGCGGAGTCCTACCGACGATCGCGCCGTGACCGCGAGTCATACTGACGATCATGCCATGATGGCGAGTCATACCGACGATCACGACGTGACCGCGGAGTCCTACCGACGATCGCGCCGTGACCGCGAGTCATACCGACGATCGTGCCGTGACCGCGGAATCCTACCGACGATCGCGCCGTGACCGCAGAGTCCTACCGACGATCGCGCCGTTACCGCGGAGTCATACTGACGATCATGCCGCGATGGCGGAGTCATGCTGACGATCGAGCCGTGACCGCGAGTCATACCGACGATCGCGCCGTGACCGCGAGTCATGACGACGATCGCACCGTGACCGTGGAGTCATACCGACGATAACCCCGTGACCGCGGAGTCATACCGACGATCGCGCCGTGACCGTGGAGTCATACCGACGATAACCCCGTGACCGCGGAGTCCTATCGACGATCGCGCCGTGACCGCGGAGTCATATTGACGATCATGCCGTGATGGCGGAGTCATGCTGACGATCGAGCCGTGACCGCGAGTCATACCGACGATCGCGCCGTGACCGCGAGTCATACCGACGATCGCGCCGTGACCGTGGAGTCATACCGACGATAACCCCGTGACCGCGGAGTCATACCGACGATCGCGCCGTGACCGCGAGTCATGACGACGATCGCGCCGTGACCGTGAGTTCTACAGACGATCACCCCGTGACCCGCGAGTCACAAGTTTCTATTGGTACCTGTAAATTGTTACCCATTTTTTGGTTTTTATAGATCAGTGCCACAAATGGTAAAAATTGATTTCGTATGTCTTTTTTGGTAACTGCAATACAGTACTTTTTTTATGCACAGAAAAAAATCCTGTCCCATCCCGTCCCGAAAATCGGGAAGGAAATAAAAATCCCGTCCCGTCCCGTCCCGAACTAAAATTTCAATCCCGTCCATCCCTAGTGTGTTTATATAAAGAAACTATAGTACATTTAAAGTTTTACTTCTGAAGACCTTGTTAACACTTGTTAAGGTATGTGTATATATATATACGTATTTAAAAAAAAGTAAATTTAAATAACCTGATTATGCCTACCCCTTAATAGTTTTTTAGTTTTTTGTTTTAAAAGTAGGCTATACAAGTTATTGAAATTTACTTATTTTATTTAACTATATTACTAGTAGCCCTAAAGAGTGAATATATATATATATATATATATATATATATATATACCGGTATATAAGTCATTATTTAGCTTTTTAGTTTTAGCGCTTGCGGACACATTTTGAGGTTTTCACAGGCCGTTGCAGACACGTAGGAACCATTCTGCTTTGGGGGTTTATAATCCTTTATGGTTATAACATTTTGTAGAAATACAGGCATGTTTATTTTGTCAATATCTGTATCAAACAGTATATTTTCCATAATTTATTAATTTAGGCCTACTGTCAGACAAAAAATGAACAGAATAAGCTGACAGTAAAATAGAGCAGGATCTCGGTGTGTGAGTTAGCGACTTGTCGCCTATTGTGGCTGGTGTCATGAAATAACAAGGGGAGCTTATTTATCGCCTGATCTAAAAAAAAATCCTGTTTTATGCCACAAGTGGTCGTGGTTCGCTTAGTGTGGCTGGCGGCATTCATTTAATTTATTACTACCCACTTTAATTTTTGGCACCGTGAGATGGGGGTTACTTTGTTAAAAAATTACTTTACTTAAAAAATTAATAACTTCAAAACTATAGGCCTAGGCCTACATACAAAAGATTCAATTCTCGCACCATATTATGTGGATGGATGTTATCTATAACTTGTGCATGTTAAAAAAATTGAGATGTTATAGATAAAAAATATATATTTTTGTGACTGTTCAAAGTAGCCCTGTGGATGGGGCTTCTATGAACATAAACTTTAACGTTGACTATATCTTAACCTTGACTTAATCTTGACTATACTTTAACCTCTTATATCTCTGGCACTGTTAAACCTAGGAGCTTCTTTGATACACCATAAAAAAGCTGGGGTTTCAATAAACAAATACATAGGCCTACAAAAAAATTTAAAAATATTAAATATTACAATTTTACTAGGGTCTAAGTAAAAACTTAAACAACTCACTGAAAAATTTGTGATTTACGACTCCATTAAGTATAATTTTTTTCTAGTTCTTCCAGAGGCCTGGTTATGGTTACACTTAATTCTTAATTAAGTTACGGTATTAATGAATATCTATTAGAGTGAAAAATCGTTATTTTTTATCTGCACTTAAGTGTCTTTAAAAACATCCCAAAAAAAGTCGTCAAAAGAGCATCCATACTTGACTAAAGACTTAAAAAGGACCTATTTACAGTTTTTTCTTCCTTTTTTTTCTTTTACATGATAGCCTACTGTACCCGGTAGTTGCTGAGGTCAGCATTGAAGGTTACACCTGATCCTTGTGAAGATATTATTGACGGTTCGGAGAGAACTTGTACCATATAACTGTATGCTATGTTGTCAAAATCTTCCTGAGAGGGCCAGATGAACTTATTTTTTCCCTGGTTCCTTAGGAATTTTACCTCAGCTCCCTTCTCATATGAACTAATG